CAAGATTTGTTAGATCAAAAGATCAGTTCTGCGAAAGATCAAAGAAAATAAACTTTGTTAGGCAGAAACTGAAGTGGGGCACCACTTTCGGATTATTAATTGTGGCGACACCGTGTCAAACATTTCCGGTGTTCAGTACTTATTTCCGCTCCAAATTTGATCCCTTTCTATTATAGTGTAAAGGGTGGAGCTGCTTTCTTTGCCATATTTTTAAAAATTCTCAATTAGACGTGGTATTGTTGATTGTTAGTGTATGTCGTGTTGGATACAGACAAAAACTAGATGCATGCAATAATAAAATTCTATAAGTAGGTGTCGGCAATAATGTTCTATAAATAGATGCAGTAATAAGGCTCGGGGAGATCCAAGTTTAAGAAAATGTACACCTGTAGGTATCATCATTTGAATAAAGTTTAATGCAAAACAAAACGACCGATTGTTGAAAAAGTGGCTGTAAGCCACTAATACAACAAGACAAGTATCACAAGCTACCGACGATTACTTCCTCAATGTAAGGCTCTCTACATAATGAACCAAGAACACTCGTAACATTGTAAGAATACGATATGAATAATGGATAATTGTACTGTCGGAGAAAAACTTAATTAATTTGCTGATCACCTTTACACAAATTAACCTTAACGATTCATGAACACAACTTTAAAATCTGGAATATTTGAACACGCTGCATAGTGTGAAGGGTATTTCAGTAGGCTTACAGTTCACAGGTAAATCACATTGTCAGAACACACCACTGACAGATTGTTATATTGAACACATCCTGCACCATTGTGAATGCACTGCCGGATACCTTAAAACGAACCTGACAAATAGATCACAAAACAGACCTCCAATATACCAACACACGTTATATTGGACGCAACTTGCCACATTGACAAATTATACAAATAGATCACCTTGTCAGAAGATATACCAACACACTCAAGGCTGTATTGAACACAACCTGCGACAGTGTTGACGCTGTGTTAGATACACCAGTACAACTACAGTTTACAAATAAATCACACGGTCGATTGCCCACGGCGACATCAATCGGACAGTTGGCGTGGTCCCCGCTTTCTTTCATTGCATCATATTACCTGCTGGTGTTAAAACTACATCGCTTTCTATCGCAGCCGATAAACACTGTACAAATAAAACAATACAGAAGTAGTTTAATCCATCGGCGCTTGTATACAAATATTTTATGTTTTAAATAATTTCTTTTATTTAAAAAAAGAAAAGAAAAAACACAACTTTTTAAAATTCTGAGATACATTTTCACACGTTTAACATTATAGATAGGTGTACTAATAATATGAATATGCGCATCAATATAACATACGAGTGTATTCCACAGGTTAGAATCAAAGCTAGATAAAACATTGAAATACCGAACAAGCTTCCATGGTGGCAAGGAAAACAGAAAACCTGTCGCGACTAAGCCACGTTTAATTCGCCCTTACTTTCATTTCCTTATGGTGAAAATGTCGGCCGTTGACAGGTCTTCAGACGAGAGCTTGTCGTCTGCATACAAGTCCCTACACGGGGCGACAACCCCGGATAACGAATGACCAAAAAGTTGAAACTTTTGTTTTAGACAGTTGTCTTATCTGGTGAAGTGGACTCTTCACAACATAAAAAGACTTTAAACAATAAAATTTTAAAATTAAGAAGACTCAAAACTATTATTGGGATGTTTATCAATATTTAGATTTATTTAGCAAAAGCTATAGTTACCAATACTTTTATTTGATTGAGTTTATTAGTTAAAATTTTCCATACGAACATAAAATATGAGAATATAAGCATTATAAATGCTATTAAATTAACAGAAATTGAAAAATCTTTTTCATCTGTAAATTCAGAAAACAGACTATATCAGATGAGATCTGGTGTCATTTGACACTGGTCCTTGGTGGATGGACCATGGTCACAGGCTGGCGTCACGTGGTGCTTGATAGGGTCACGTGGTCACGAGACAAACAAGTAAACATAACAACAAACAGCGACAACAAACAGCGACAACAAAGCGCAACACGAAACAGTAACAACACAACAACGAACATTAAGCTCACGCGATTATCAACTTGATTGTTGACGAACCCGCACTCAACGATCGCAAAAAATCAATAGTGACTGCTAACATTTTCAAACAAACAGCTGTAAAAATCAAACCTGATTCTGTTGAGGGGAACACCTTTCCAGTGGTCCTTTGGTGACGCCATTATCGTCTGCGAAGTTCAGCCTGACGTCATGCGTGTCCACAAAAATGCGAACCTCCACTCAAGCGCCAGTTATTTGAACAAATAAAAATCCCAGGCAACGCGACAAGAAGATGTTTTTTAAACAAAAGGAAACCAAAGTCTGTCCCTTGGGATATCGAGTTCACACACAAGAAATACGAAACGACTGGTTGACGAAATCTCCTCACAGTGAACAACATCGCTTTATTTGTGTGCAGAGCTGTTGGCTTCAAACTACATTACATTGGTAGTCGCTGAGGCAAGGTTAATCAGATGACGACTGCTTCACGTCTGCTGATGGTTATGTACAGTCACAATTCCTTTGATGTCAGCCAGTAGTTCTAATTTGGTTTGTTTTCCAACCCATCCATCCCCCTTCCCCACCCCACGGTCAACGATTGTTTTATCTCCCCTAGTGAGATAAAGAAAAGAAAGGAAAGAAAGTAAATTAAAACGGACACGATGCTGATTGACGTAAACGGTGTGGCGAATCAATGTGAATAGGCGTGGCAGTTAACCTGAATGGTTAGGGTTAGGACACATTCACTGGAGGGAAATGTCAGGTTTAAATTTTGATGTTTGGGTGTCTCAGTCTGGGCCCATCCATTTCAGACATGTGTTGAGTTTATGGGGCGGATTCAGCTAGAGAGCTAATAAAAACTTGCAGCATATGAAGATATCAATTCATCCAACTTCATTTAAAGTAAAGCAGGCATAAAAACCTTCACATAAAGAAGTCTTAAAAACGCGCTAAATTAAATTTAAAAACGGCTTCATTCTTTCGCTATTAAGGTTTGTTTTTTTTTTAATTTTCTAAAACTTATTTTTAATGCATAGAAGCCTTGAACCAGCTAAACAATATGTGGGGTTCGGGAGATTTGACAATTGGAATAAAAATCTGGGTCTTCAGTCGGCGCACTAGTGAAGGCTGTTTTACTCTGTGGGGCTGAGACATGGAGAATAACTGCCACAAATAGAAAATACAATCATTTATAAACTCATGCCGCAGAAAGATGGATTGGCCACACTCAGGAAGTTGTATCCAGCCTAAAAAGACAGGCCCCCAACAGGAATCCACAGGGCAAAAAGTTGCCGACCAAGGAAGACCTGGATACGTGACATGAAAGAAGACAACAAGAAGATTGTATACACATGGGGACAGTTGGAGAGACTAGCCCAGGACAAATGCCTGGAAAGCTCTTTTCAGCAGCTTATGTCCCAGGGGGGGGGGGGGGGGGACGACGACGACGACAGGCTAACCTAACTCATCTTTAGTGCATAACAAAGTTTATTATACATGTTTTATTCGGTCATGCTTTACTATTTTCTTTATATTATTTATTATCACATAAATTAGGCCACAGAGAGATTAATATCATAATAAAAAAAACAACGACATTAACTGTCTGAGTCATTTAACCACCATGTTAGGATCGGACATAATCAAAACAATGGACACTATTACACAGCACAACAGGAAACAGACTGTTTTAACATAGCGCGGGAACGGCTATAAATATTTTTGCGCCTCCGTAAGACTTTTTTGATACACATAAACAATTACTTGTTCTTATTGTTAACAATACACATAATAATCGTGTTATAAATTGCCTTTCATTTGATATGGTCATACCTGGCAGAGTGCAACATACGTTTATTTTCTTCAGTACTCCGCTATATGAGACCTATAGTGTTGTTATAACGTCAGAATCTTTGTTAGATCGCACAAAATGCCAACGTGAATTGAATTCACACGATGCCTCAGATGGTGTAGTGAGTTTTCAGGTTTAAAAATAAATTTTTAATTAGCCGTTTTGTATTAGATCTATGTATAAGTAAACCATCTTATAGACATGAAATTAGGCTACATGTAAGAAAAAAGTATTACTATTGTAAATCTGTATCAGTCCTCACAAAGCCAATGTTGAAAACTGTAATACTAAAGCAAACTAACGCTGTGGGGCACACAAATAAAAAACTTCTAAGTGAAAAGAAAATTACACCCCCACACAATCAGATTCTACCTCTCGACTAGTTAATAGAGGCGGTGTTCGAAGTGGTTGGTTATGTGGTGCAATCGTTGCTGAGACATTGAGGATGTTAATGAAAGTATGGGCTGATGAACCGACCAAAATCATGAAAATGTTTTTTTTAAGGGTTCTTCTCCCTGACGTAGACATGGTTCACATGGGTCACAAGATCCCGTGATATCTGTTGGATGTTGTCACCAGTGTGACAGAAGATGACTTTGAATGTTACTAGAAAACTCGACCCGTTTGTTAATACGATCAAATGCGTTGTCGAGGAAGGTTTTTTGACCATGAAGAAACACATCCTCTGTCTACTACAGCTGTCTATGTGAACTAAAGATCCATTTCATTCAGATGTGACAGTCACTGAGGCAGATGACGTCTAACTTGATGGTTTGTAGGGCCTGTGACGTACACCACGACTTTTTTACTTTCGAGCTAGGTACTCATTGAAGCTCAGTGAACAAAGAGTCGTCCTACGAACTGAACACTGGGAACCGAACTCGAAGCTTTCTGATATGCAGTGATATGCCTACTCGACCACACCGCCTCGGGCAGCACAGGAAGCGGGCGAGTAAGTTTCAAGTATATATCAATGCCTAAAAATGACACACATCACATAGCATGCCATGATATTTTGTAGAATACCAGAAACTTACCATCTGTGGACAAAACACTCAAACACATACACACACACTTAACTTTGTATTCGAAATGTACTTACAGAATGTGCTTCCTAATTACTGAACACAAGTTCATGTTTAATGTATTTTATTTAATACACGCAAGTCGTCTCGTACTCTCTTGACAAAATCATGTTAAAATCCACTGGTTTAAAGTATCTGTATCTGAGTCCAGCAATAGTGTGGGACCACCATCCATGGTCAGCCTTATGACCACCACCACCGCAAGGCAATCACTTATCTAATGAGATTCCATATCAACCAGGATCAACTAAATAAACGCATGGAGTATAGGCACATTGACTGAACAAAGATAACGAGGCGAGGGTAGAAACCAGAGCAAACACTGTGTGGTGACATCTTCACCACTTGAGCCAGATACCGAGTGCCTTGTCTGAAAGTTGAGCGCTTGGCTTATGAGAGGGGCGACACAACAACAACGGATGAGTCAAGGACTAGATTCAATGACACGGATAAAAATATATACATCCGGTTGGCTGTTTACACTTGCCGTAAATTGTTATACAGACTGGGGTTGATTTTTTAAAGAAATAATTTGTGATTTAATAAAAAGATCACGTGATATCTGAGGGGTTGGGGGATTGTGATGCTGGAGTGGTATCCGATGAGGAAGGTCAGTTTATGTAACTTGAATTTTTTTAAAAATAAAATGCCATTTGAAATACCAAACAAGTAGAGCCATGTGCCAGCTAGCCATATACTGTGTCTAAACCTCATTTATAAGATAATTATTCCAATAATTTAGATTAGCTTTGTCGAGGGTTTGGAAATAGCAGTATTAGACATCAGGTGCTATTTAAATACCATAGGTAGACAGAGGTACAGACAGTGGTGTAGCGAGGTCGGGTGTCACCCGGTGCGGCACTTAATGGTGGCACCCCCTAGAAGCGTAGCGACCCTTCTCTGGGACAAACTTTCAATTTGCACCCTCCCCCCCCCCCTCCCTCAAACTTTCGATTTGCACCCCCCCCCCCCCTTCAAACTTTGGATTTGCACCTCTTAAAACACTATTTAACACTCGAATCAATCACTTAATTAAGTGGAATTATCATTTTTCTCTATATGTTTTGCTATTTTTTGCCTTGGTGTCACCCCCCCCTCCCTAAATGGTGTCACCCGGTGCGGTCCGCACCCCCCGCCCCCCATCGCTACGCCTCTGGGTACAGAATATACCCCTTGCAAAGACAGAAGAGTGTAGCCAGAATTAGCATCACTAACACATAGATCTAGTATGTTTCAGAATAGTTGTAGCATAGAAAATTCGACAAAACAAACGCACAAGCATAAAATATTTTTGATAGTTTTCAACTGTTTCTGCGATTTTGAAAAACTAGTGAAAAAATTGAAACAAATTAAACAATTGATTTACTTGAACGTTAGCCATTATTTTTAATCTTTACAGGTTTTGCTAAAATTAGCAGTATAAAAATTAATTAGTGATGAGCGATGGTTTCTTTCAGACTTTTATCTCCGGAAAGGGGGGGGGGGGTGGAGACTGGTAAAAGTATATAATTTCAAAATAAATTCCATTTCGTTCCGGGGGGGGGGGGTAGACAAACTTCCGAGGGGGGGGGGGGGGAGGGTCAAGTGATGCCAGGAAGAAACTCTGGACATAATCAACATGGCCTAGCTTGCAACTTCTATTTATTTGCTAAAATATTTGGTTCCGTTAAAGGGAAATAACTCAATAAAATCGCATATAATAAGAAGGATGTGGGGCTGATATTTGAAGTTTGGTATTTGGTTGGGACTGGGAGGCTGAAGTGTTGAAGGAGGGAGCAGAGTTTCTTCCATGCAACTTTTCGGGAGGGGGGGGGGGGGGCGAATCCCCCCGAACGAAATGAAATTTATATAGAAATATACTTTTAACAGTGTCCGCCCCCCCCCCCCCGAAGAAAGTCTACCCCCCCCCCCCCCCCCGAAAATTTCAAGTGCCCCCCCCCCCCCGCAGAAAAAAGTCTGGAAGAAAAACGAAAAACGGGGGGGGGGGGGTCACGGTGACGCCCAATCTAGGTACGCCACTGAGTAGGCCTGCTAATCAAAAAACATAACTTTTTTTTCTGTTTCACAGAAAGAGACCATAAAATAAAGTTGGATATAAGTTGAGGGCAAGCAATAATTGTAGAACATGTACAAAATGACGAACGAAACATCTGTGATGTAGATCTATATTAAAAATAAATAAACCAAATTCATCTTTAGTATATTTTATTTAAAATATATTTGGACTATAATATAATGTACCTATCTCTAACAGCTTTGCTTTTCTAAAACAGGAAACTACTAGTTTTTAAACTGCTATTTTGTATTGTACAAGTCATTAATACCATTTACAATGTTAAATTGACTAACTTACATTATTATTACTTAGTAAAATTTTAGGGGTATAATTTAATTTAAAGTTTACAGCTACATATTTTGTTTGTCAGTCTTTAATACAGCTATGGCTGTTATTATTGAAACATCGATTGGCGATATGACCGTTGATCTGTACACAGACGAAAGGCCAAGAAGTAAGAAAGAGAAAGAACTGAGAACAATTTGAAAAAAAAAGTCTTTAAATTAAAAAAAAAACACCACTAGATCTAGATCTAGATGATCTACATCACACCACACTCTTTCTTACTAATTCAAATACTAATATTTTAACAATCAGTACATAGACAGTACAATAACAAAGCTACTCTATAAAGAACTACAAAAGTTGTGAAGACTACTAATGAGTCGGTCATCTATCGTTTTAGGTACGTAAAATCGCCCGCGACTTGTAATGTGAAAAACAAGTGACTCCTTAAATTTTAATAATTATTTCACATTTTGAGGAGGATTTATGTTTTTCAAAATACAAACATGTTTCCTTGTTTCATAATTTATGTACCTGTTTTTAAACAATTGAATTAAAACTTTTCCGTAATAAATGAAGACTAGCGATGTTTCCAACAGATGCAAGCATGCTCATTTACTATAGCAGCCATCTTGTTTACGTTTTATTTTTATAAGCTTATAGCGCAGATTCAGGGGGAAGCCTCTCTATTTTACAAATGGCTGTTGTTTATATAGCAAATCTTGCTCTCAGACACTGCTGTTTAAAGTTAATTTCTGGCCTATATCGATATATTTAGCCATTGATTTTGGTTTATTATTCATTTATCTATAATATTTGACACAAACATATGACAATATACTTCTATTAAAGCCTTGACAATGAGGTAACGTTTTCGTACATTAATAGCCGCGGGCGATTTTACGTACCCAAAACGATAGATTACCAATGAGTCTAATGACTAAACTAAGGCTTTACTTTACAGTTACATTTATTCCTAACTTTCATTTAGAGTTTACACTACTTTACACTTAGTCTGACTTAGTCAAATAAATCTCTAATGTAATCTAGAATCTAGTACTATTAGTGAAGCAGGCCTATAACATTTTGCTCAAGTTTTAGTTAGTACAGTAGTCTTAGTAAGTTAGTTAGTCTTAGTCATTTTCCTAACTACTATATTAAAATTAAATTTGGGGGTCATCAATTTTTTTTTGAATGTCACAGTCCTAGAGTGGCTAGAGGAAAGGGGATTCAGACATGTGATGAGGGGGTCAGAAAGCATGGCAATGCACTTTTTGTTTAATAAATTAATATTAGAAATTGAATTTGAACTCTATTTCTTTTTTTTTACATGCTGTTTTTACTTTCTCGTATATACGAAGTATAACGAAAGTATTGTAATCGTGCACAAAAATCACTTGAAATTTTAACAATTTTCACCGTATTACACCTCAGTCCTTCATCACATCCGAAGTATAGAGGACTTATTTTAATCGGGCAAAAATTATCAATCCAGATTTATCAAAATTAAGAGGTTTTATGCGTAATCCAGTCTGAAAAACTGGGCTTTGCAATTCTGTCCGTATGTCTGTGTGTCTGTCTGTCTGTCTGTCTGTCTGTCCGTGTGTAAACACGATAACTTGAGTACCGTTACAGCTAGGTTGATGAAATTTCATATTTAAGTATTTTATCAAAATCGTAGATCCGTATCAACTTTTGAGCGATTTCCGATAACCGGAAGTTGTACTTATTCTACTTTGAATTTTTCAAAAGCCTATAACTTGAGTACTATTTCAGATAGATAAATGAAATTTCACATGTAAGTAAAAGATCTAATTTTCTACCTTCTGTTAAATTTTGAGTAATTTCCATTGACCGGAAGTAGTAATTTACGCTACTTCCGATTTCTCAAAAAACTAATGTAAATTTTTTAAGTACTAATAATATTGCGCACTATTATGCACTTTTTTATTTGGCGTTCACTTGGTGTGCAATTCTTTTGTAACGAGATTTTATTCTATTTCTAAAACTTTAAGTATTTAAAATGGATTAAAAATCATGTCTATAGCCCGAGTTCCCATCCCCTGTTGTTTTATATAAGAATATTCGAGAAAGTTTAGGGGAGATCACTCCCGGTTTATTGTAAATTGTAAAAGATAATGGATTACTAAACATTAAAACAAGTAGGGCCTATACTCAATGTTGACTGTTGACCAAGCGTAGTAAATTTAATAGAAAGAAATTATTTGTAAACCAAAAACTGCAATTTTGATTGGTTTGTCTCATCATGTTGGGGGCATCTTGAGGTAAAAATAGTTTTAAAATGTGTGATGTCGTTTATAGATGACAAAAAAAATAATAGTACTATTAGTAAGAAGTAAGAGTAAGGGGGCACATATCCAAAAAGCCATTTTTTTTTTTAATTTTTAGGCCTAAACTATTTTTTTATTTGACCCAGCCTGCAAAGAACTTTTAAAAAGTTTTTCATATTATTTTAATATTCTGGCACCTATATTTAAACATGTTCAGATTTAAACTACCTCAATCTTTTCTATCTGTTAACAGCCTCCTGTAAAGTCCCAAAGCCCTAAAAACAATAATTGCTTGTTTAATGTTGAAAATAGTTAAGATAACTATTTAAAATTTCTCCAGGTTGTTTGAACTTCTTGAAGCTTTGCAAGATCAAGTATTATAACTTTTCATTGTTTCATACAGTGCAGGTAAAATTCTATAAACAGTATTAAACAAGACATACTGTGTTAAATGTCCCAGGCTCTTTAATGTTATCCCTTCATTGGTCTGAAAATGTTTTTAGGCTCATAAGCCCTGAATTTGACAATGCTTTTATTTGTTTATCTTTTTATTTTAATTCTCTTGTTTAATGGGATCCTGACATTTTTATATTTTTATTTGATCTACTATGGTTTAAAAAAATTGTCATAGTTATTAAATGTTATTTTTACAGTTGTTATTTGAGTAATGAGATTTTATAGAAAACCATATTGACAAAATTGAAATTCAAAATTCCCCTTATAATCTGTGTTACTGTTTTCCCCAGCAAAATCTTGTTGCACAAGCAGGGGATCCGACAGCTACTGGAAGAGGGGGAGAATCCATTTTTAGGTGAGGATAGCTTCTATTTTTGGTAGATACATTCTTTAATTGTCTATGCATGACGTCCCCTGGAAAAATAAGTTACACTAAATCAACACAATAAGGTAATATGGAATAATGGACACACATATCAATGTAAATGAATACTCTAGAGTTTAATGACTTTCTACCCAAGGAACTATCAAAGTAACCTCCCGTGTGAAAATATTCATTTGCTTTATTTTGTATAGATTCTTGTTTCAATAGATAGTTGGTAAATATGCTTTATACGGGTCATTGGTACTTGGACTAATATAGCTATCGTTATATACTACTGATTCTGCTCAAGTTAACCATACCAAAATGTTAAGATGATTCATTGTATTCACAATAAATAATTGTTATAGATAGTATATTTATATTTTGTAGGAGTTTGTATGGAGACCAGGCAAGGTTTTTCCCCATGGAGGAGGTGCCTCGCATCAAACATTCAAAAAAAGGTCTCATATCAATGGTCAACAACGGGAGTGATATGCATGGATCACAGGTGATGAGTTTAGAAAATAAAATAGAATTACATTTTTTATATTTACTGTACCATGGATCACAGGTGATGAGTTTAGAAAATAAAATAGAATTACATTTTTTATATTTACTGTACCATGGATCACAGGTGATGAGTTTAGAAAATAAAATAGAATTACATTTTTTATATTTACTGTACCATGGATCACAGGTGATGAGTTTAGAAAATAAAATAGAATTACATTTTTTATATTTACTGTACCATGGATCACAGGTGATGAGTTTAGAAAATAAAATAGAATTACATTTTTTATATTTACTTTACCATGTTAAAAAAGAAATGGATAGACTATTTGATAATAACAATATTTTGTTTTTGCTGGAGTAAAATATTCATCATTGATGTAAAAACAAGTAATTAAAAAAAGTCTAGTGACAATTTTAGCGCAATTTCCTTATGTTATCTAAAAATAGCTCTGTCGTAGCGTAAATCAAGAGCAGGGTTAGTAAAACCATTGGTTAGTTATTAAAACGTTTTTTATTAATTTTTTTTTCAGTATTTTACATGTTTTATTTACAATAGAGTAACATGACTAAAAACCATTGCGCGCCTAGCTACCGAACGTGATGTCGCAGCCATTGAACGTGATGGCGCATCTATTGAACGTGATGACGCGTGTGGTGTGGTTGGAAAAACATGCCTACTAATTCGGTCCAAATTGTAATTAATTCAAAAATTTTTTTGTGACCAAACGAAAGGATATTTTTGAAAACTTTCTTCGGCAATATTGTTCTAAATTATGGCAGGAATCGATTGGTACATGTTTCAAGTCGCTAAGTGGTCTGGTTGCCGAGATATGGGCCAAAAACTGCATTTTTTCGAGGTTTTTTGGCTTTTTCGGGAAATCCATGAAAGAAACCCGGAATTTTTATGGCCTATGTTCATCCTCGTAACTTGCTTAACATAGTCGATATTGCTTCGTTGAGGAGGAGATACGACTTAAAGCCCGGACACACATTCATACATCCATACATTCATCCATCCATACATTCCCAGAAATGACGAGTTAATAAACGCAATTCTCCAGAATGGAAATTGCGCTAAAAATTGTAATTTTCCTGTTTAGAATTTTTTACCATCCAGCACATGGTCAGGAATGTCTGTTGGGGCTCCTTAACATACCATGACACTATGAAATTTATTGTTTAATGAGAGCTGTGTGGGGGTGGTTGTAGGGCATGTTTTATACCACACTGTAGCCAGTATTTCACTTTGCTAAATAATACATTTATTTTGGTGCTTTTTCAATATTACTTATTCAATACTTTACACATTTTAATGAGGGAAATTCGAATTGTAACTCCAGCTAGAAACAAGAAATTGATGTTTGTCGATTTACTTTTTCGGTGATTCACAACCATACAGCGCATGTTACAAATTATATCTTTGTTAAAGTTAAAATCATTATACTTTGTTCAGTAAATATGAAATATTTAATTGTAAAAAATAGTTTTTCTTCACACTTGCTGACAATCTTGACTACCTTGATGGGAAACATACAGTATTTGGAGAGGTCACAGAAGGCACTGATGTGTTGGAAAAACTCAACAATACATTTTGTGGGGAGGATAACCGTCCACACCAAGACATAAGGTCTTTCAGATTTTAGTAGAACATTTTGTGGGGAGGGTAACTGTGCATACGAAATATAAGGTCTTTCAGATTTTTATAGAACATTTTGTGGGGAGGGTAACTGTCTACAGCAAGGTAAAGGCAGATTTTAGTAGAATTCAGGCACTCATTTTTATGTTTGGATGTACTTGCTTAATGCTTTAGCTAATACCTGGATGATTGTGTATAGAATCTATCACACAATAATCCTGGATGACCCTTATGATGACCCAGCCAATTTAGACATCCCTCCTGTATCTCCTGGTCCTACAGAGGAAATGTTGAATGTAAGTTTTGAGTGTGTGTGTGTCAAATAGTAATTGAATTATGTCATTTTAAATACATTTCTGATTAAACTAATGTTGCAGATTTAAGTGTACCTCTCTGCACAGATACTGAAAGTCATTAGCATTGTCTTCATTTCAGAGAAAATTTGTTTTGTAAAATAGTTAAAGAGAAACAGACATCTTTATCTCGTTAAAGTTCTAAAATTCACTGCACCTTACATGTGACCATCTTCCCAGTGATTTAAAATTGTAATCTTTGCTTTATATTAGAGTGACCATATTCCATGTGATGCCAACATAGATGAAGACAAAGACAAAACAGAACAACAACTGGCTGAAATAATGGCTGAGAAAGAGGCCAAAGCTAACACACAGATTTTAGAGATGGTGAGTTCAGAGTTCAAATGAGATGCTACCATCACCCTTACTAGATCTACATTTCTTTTATTGCATCCATAGTTATTTAATCAATTACTAGTTCGGAAATTCTCACATTTAAAAAAAAAAAATTAGTATAAAAAACTTACGCACATTTTATATTCCTTAGTCTTGTATTTATTTAGATAGATAAAAATATAATGTAAAATAGGGAAGGAGTATGTTTCCTCACCCATTTTTTTTAATGTAATGTAAGTAAGGTCTATTTTGTTATAAATATCATAAGAGTAATATTGTGCCTAACCACCTCAATATTTTTACAATGACTTTAACAGTTAGATCTTACCTGTCTCATTAGGTCGGAGATTTGCCTGAAGCAGATGTAGCACCACCTGAGAATGTCCTTTTTGTTTGTAAACTCAACCCAGTCACTACCTCAGATGATCTGGAGACCATCTTCTCCAGGTTTGGCCAGATTGTCAGCTGTGAAGTCATCAAGGTAAAGTGTACCTGACAGGTCTAGGCAGTTGTAGCATAGCTTAAGGTAAAGTTTACCTGACAGGTCTAGGCAGTTGTAGCATAGCTTAAGGTAAAGTTTACCTGACAGGTCGAGGCAGTTGTAGCATAGCTTAAGGTAAAGTGTACCTGACAGGTCTAGGCAGTTGTAGCATAGCTTAAGGTAAAGTTTATCTGACAGGTCTAGGCAGTTGTAGCATAGCTTAAGGTAAAGTTTACCTGACAGGTCTAGGCAGATGTAGCATAGCTTCAGGTAAAGTTTACCTGACAGGTCTAGGTAGTTGTAGCATAGCTTCAGGTAAAGATTCTTGTACTAAAATAAAACAATCTTTTTTTTTTTTTTAATCAGGATTCTAAGACAGGAGAGTCCTTGCAGTATGCCTTTATTGAGTTTGGGAACGAAGAAGATTGCGAGAAAGCCTACTTTAAAATGGACAATGTTCTGATAGATGACCGACGTATCCATGTAGACTTCAGCCAGTCTGTGTCTAAACTAAAGTGGAAAGGCAAAGGTTTGAGTTCAAGTTTTCTTTGTTTCACACATTGTGTTTACAAAGTTTACAGTACTAAAAATATGGATCTTTCTTAATTAAAAATTTAGCAAAGTTTTTTTTTCTGTATACATGGTTGAAAAATTTTAAGAAGCTGATTTTAACTAACATTTTTTATTGATAAATAAAAGAAATTTGAGTGTGAAATAAATTTAGAACCTGTTTGCAGGTAGAGGAGTGGAGATTATGGAAACAGGCGATGCCCCAATCTATGTATTAAAAAACCAACAGAGACGAAACGAGTATCCTTTCATTTACGTTGGATAAATATTGCTTATCTATTTTGGTATCCCCATTTCTATTTGTGACACTGTTTGAAATACACTATAAAAGATGTGCACGGTTATATAAACCTTAACCAATGACAGTGGGTATGATCTTGTGTATGATGAGGATGTTGGAGGAAATAGAAAATCCAAAAAGTCACATGACAAGAAACAAAGTTCAGACAAAAGGGAAGACAACTCTAAATTAAGGAGGGTAAGCATACTATTTTTTTATTGGCATCAGTTTTTGTCATTTAAAAAAAAAATTGATATCTTTTTTCTCTGGAAAAAAGTTTTACAATTAAAACAACAACAAAAAACCATTTAAAATGAGCTTTAGACACATTAGAGAGTGCCAAATATCCCTTTTAAAAAGATGTAATTAGTTTTGAAAGCTTATATTTCCAATGTGCCTAGTGTTTTTTTTTTATCTCCACAGAGAGAGAAAAGTAGTTCAAATAGTCCTGTTTCTAAAAATAGAAATCACTATGATAAAGGAAACAAAAAGAGTTCTTCAAAGGGAGATAATAGAGACCAGAAGGAAGACAGGGGAAGGAATGATGGCAACTGGAAGAAACAAGAGGAAGAGAAAGAATACAGAAATAAAAGAAATGAGGAGGACAGGTGGGAGGGTAGAGGAAGAAAGCAAGAGAGGTTTGAGGATAGTGATGAGAATAGTGACAGAAAAGACAGAAAGAAAAACAAGTCAGACCAGGAGAGAGAGAGTAAGAAAAGATCTGGGAGAGACAGATCAGTAGAGAGTGAGGAAGACAACACAAGACATAAAATCTCAAGGAAAGATAACTCTGATGAGAATGACAAGGGACATCACCACAGTAAGAAAAAGAAGAAAGACAAGAAAAGACATAAAAAACAAGAGAGTAGTGATGAGTCTTCAGAAGATGATAGAGGTTCAAAGGGAGGTAAATCAGGCAGCAAAAATAAAAGCAAATACTCTTCTGAAGAAAAGACATCAAAAAAGTCAAAAAAGAAACACAAGTCCAAAAAACATGAAAGTTCAGATGAAGATGATAGAAGGTAGCTTTGGAGTAAATATTGAGATTTGTTGTTGAAAAGTTATGGTGTACTGCTCATTTCAATCTTGATTAAACTTTGAACATACATTTACCATATGTTGCTGTTATTATTAATAAATTAACATATAAGTTATAACACATGGGATAGTATGGTGGGGTAGTAGGGCACATGACCACTAACCCAGAAGTCTCCAGTTCTAAGGTTAGAAGATTCCACCCTGCTCTAATGGGAAACCACAGGTGGCTGGGCTTAAAACACATACCTTAAAAAACAGATGCTCTCTATCAAGTTCATGCCTGACTTTTATAAAGAAAAAAAAATACGTATGGAGCTTAAAAAGGACCATTAATCAATATATATTTTAAAACAAAGCATGTCTTACTCCCTTGTTGAGTGGTATTTTTAAAGGACTAAGCTGCTAGAAATGTTTGTTAGATATTCCTGTTTGGAAAGAAAGTCAATTGGCACATATTTCATTGTATACTTACTTGCTGGACCCTCACGTTAACGTCACACAAAACTTAAGCCTAACCGTTAAGACTTCCTACACCTTTAACCAAAACCCTTAACTACACAGTTGTAGGTATCAGTGTACCAAGCAAGCCATCAAGTTTTCACACATCACCAAAGGCGTAGCTAGGTGGGGGGGGGGGTACATATGTCCCCGGGCGCCGACCTTAGGGGGCGCCGAAATGGGTTTGGAAAAACAAATTAAAATCTCATTTTAGCTGCAGTATTGCATTATAAATATAAAAAATATATGGGTGGGGTAGCCCCAGTGGTGTAGCGAGGTCGGGTTTCACCCGGTGCGGCACTTAATGGTGTCACCTCCCCAGAGGCGTAGCGACCCTTCCCGGGGACAAACTTTCACATTTTCGATTGCACCCCCCCCCCCCCTCGAACTTTCGATTTGCAACCCCCCCCCACAAGTTTTTCTCTATATATTTTGCTATTTTTACTTTCTAACCTGCTAGCAGTAAAGGGGCTTGACTGCTAACCTGCTAGCAGTAAAGGGGCTTGACTGCTAACCTGCTAGCAGTAAAGGGGCTTGACTGCTAACCTGCTAGCAGTAAAGGGGCTTGACTGCTAACCTGCTAGCAGTAAAGGGGCTTGACTGCTAACCCGAACACAATTGAATCCCAGAATATAGTCTGCAGAACGTCCATGACCCCACACAGGGAAAGTTAAGGTGGCTTGGCATAGTGCTGACCACACGATCTCTTTATATGCCAAAGTCACAGAAACAAAGGAACTCCACTTGTCCCATGGACCATCAGGTTCGAAAAGGGAACTTAACTTGTTTTTACATCAGTCAATGGTCAAGTGCTGGTAATAAACTTAGATTCTCACCTAGGGATTAAAGAAGCCAGTCATCCAGAATGTGGTTGGACGACCTTCAAAGAGCCAGGAGTTGAACTGGACATTACGGTCCAGCAGGTCAGTAAACCAGTGTTGTGGACTGGCAAGATACCTGGCCACAAATTGGTTTTAACATTCAAATTCAATCATGTGACAAACCCAAAAGCTCTTGTGTAATGAAATTAATCAACTACATTAAAAAAAATTGTTTCTTAAGAAAAACCTTTCAAGTTTTGAACCAACCTTTTTCCAGTTGTTGGGTACCCTAGCATCAAACATGTTGTCCAGGGCGTCCCTGAGGTTCTCAGACATGATGATTGTGCCATCTATGGCCAGCTTCAGGTCCATGAGGGTGGTGCGCACTAGACCAATTACTCGCTGCATGCGGTCAATCTCTTGACTTAAGAAAATGTTTAGAGGCTGGAGGGATCCCATTTTTTTTCAATCGTTCTTTCACCTAAGAAATTGTTTAAAAATGTATTTATACATACATTTGTTTCAATATACCTAAAATGAATTTAACTACATACAAAATTGACAGATGAACAAAAATCTAAATTTGGTAGGCAAACAAAAAGTAAGAAGTAAATAAAAAGATGAAGTGAGTTTGGCGCCAACCTCATGAGGAACGTAGTCTTGTGGTAGCTTCTCCAGCATGTCGTCTGCCAGTCTGTAGACAACTGTCTCACGTGTCTCCCCAACCCTCCAGCATGTCGTCTGCCAGTCTGTAGACAGCTGTCTCACGTGTCTCCCCGCCCCTCCAGCATGTCGTCTGCCAGTCTGTAGACAGCTGTCTCACGTGTCTCCCCACCCCCACTGCCAGCATGTCGTCTGCCAGTCTGTAGACAACTGTCTCACGTGTCTCCCCACCCCTCCAGCATGTCGTCTGCCAGTCTGTAGACAACTGTCTCACGTGTCTCCCCACCCCCACTGCCAGCATGTCGTCTGCCAGTCTGTAGACAACTGTCTCTCGTGTCTCTCCACCCCCTCCAGCATGTCGTCTGCCAGTCTGTAGACAACTGTCTCACGCGTCTCCCCACCCCTCCAGCCTGTCGTCTGCCAGTCTGTAGACAACTGTCTCTCGTGTCTCCCCACCCCTCCAGCCTGTCATCTGTCAGTCTGTAGACAACTGTCTCACGTGTCTCCCCACCCCCACTGCCAGCATGTCGTCTGCCAGTCTGTAGACAACTGTCTCACGTGTCTCCCCACCCCTCCAGCCTGTCATCTGTCAGTCTGTAGACAACTGTCTCACGTGTCTCCCCACCCCCACTGCCAGCGTCTTTACAACGTTAACAATGGCGGACAACATTTTGTTGGCTGTGTTGGTTTGACAGCTAAAACACCAAAGTTCAATAATTCACACAGGAATAACATATCATTCACACAGGAATAACATTACATTCACACAGGAATAACATTACATTCACACAGGAATAACATATCCTGTAACAATTAAGAGTATCTAAACAAACACTTTCTAGGATATATTTTATCACTGTTTGTTGTTCAGTTCAAATAATACTTTATTCTTTTTCATTCTTAAATTATAGTGTTGGACAGAATTGTCTCCAGTCCATCCAAGAGCAAACTAGAAGACAGCAGATTAACTTTGGAGTTTGCTGTCCCCAGCTATTGAGCCACAATCTGTCAAGGGGTTTAAACTCAGGGCTTTTTATAACCATTAGCTTTACCAGCAAAGTTAATTGCCAACAACAACACTAAAAGCAATATTACATCTGTCCCTGTGTGTTTAATGTCACGGCAGAACAGATCCTGTAGAGCTCAATTGTTCTTCTTATTTCTTCTTCTTCATTCTTAATTTTAGTGTTGGAAGGGAACCCCCTTCAACACAATTAAGTATACGTGTCAACTGGTTATGCGCCATTGAGGCCAATGACTCCAATTTCAGCCTGCTTTTCTTTTTGCATTTGCTTCCATAGCCTTTGTTCAACCAAGAACAAACTACAAGGCAGCAGCTGAAGAGTGGCTGTCCCCAGCTAACGAGCCTCATCTGCCCGAGGGTTCGAACTCGAGACTTTTCGGTTTAGCAAGCTGAATTGTTCTATCTTGAACTATTTGTATGCACTTTTCTTATCACCCTTTGATATCACCCAATTAAAAAAAAATATTTCTTTCTCACTCTCACACCAAGGCAGAGTGCTACAGTTAACAACAAGATACCCATGTACTAGCATCAATAATAGTCTCACGTGTACGTTATGTTATGTGAGAGTTTGAGGAAACTTACGTGATGTCAGCGTTGGGTGTAGACCAAAGCACTCAGGCGAGTCCACTAGAGGCAAGGACTCTATGTAGTTCCTGTACTCTTCCAGGTTCTTACATTTAGGGATCTTGTAGCCTGGTGACAGTGATCATATGGTTATATAGAGAGTGGATTCAAATAACATTTCGAACTCTATTTAGCATTAGTTAAACGGTAAATTTCCAGCTATGTACTCTGCAACTAGTCCTTGACGGTACAGTATCAAAGTATACAGGCATTACAGGGGAGTTAACCAGAGCTAAGTAACATTGTTGGAGTAGAGCCCCTTTAATGTTTGTGAATCAGTTGTGAAGTTGACACTAACCGAATCTGGGGTAATATTGAACACTATTCTTGTTCACAATTAATCTATTTGTGTTATTCTATCGTCATAAACCAACATTACCAACAAAGCTAGAACATGTTTGTTATAAAGAATGGTGTATTGCTCCAACGTGTGTCGTTTCATGTCTACCACCGAGAAAAATGACAGAAGTCAGGAATGACAAACAATGGCCAGTGTGTTATCCCATTTGTAGATCTATACATACACAAAAAGTACACATTTAAAGTTAAACGTAAACATCTGGATGGCGGTGTTGATTGTTTACCATCACATGACAATTCTACGTCCAAGGAAAGACAATTCGCTTATTTATTTCCCCTCCCAAAAAAGGCATGCAACATGCTGAGAGATATCGAGTTGTCTGTCTTGTCTACGATTACAGGTAGGTAATGAGTTTTGGATTTGTTTTTGTTTTGAACAAACCTGGATAAACTGAACATTTTTAGTTCTACAATAAATCTTATTAAATGGAACTGTTGAATTTGGATTCCTGGGTATTATGTCACACTTGTGTCCCTCACTAGAAGCGACATAACCTGCTCTCGTTTAATTGTTTAATAGTCGCATTTTCCAAAGACACCACCTCCACCCTCCCCCACCCCCTCAACCGCAGGGCTTCAGGAAAAAGCTACGCTGTCTAGCGAAGGCCCATCTTCTACAGTTACACGAATTGAATTAGCGTCTCGCGACTTGTAGAAAATAGGTTATGTTTGGTGGAAAATGTTCCCATTGTGTACAGTAAAAAAAAACATGAGATTATATTTCACGTGGAAAAATCGTGGCCTTTCACGCGTAGGGCAGAGCGGCCTACATGATCAGTTTATCGGCGTGATTCGCGAATCTGTTTACATCCCCAACTTTTGAATACGCAACGCTTCAGAAATTTAAAAATGTGTGCTTTATATTGTTTTAAATTTCTGAATTTTTTTTCTCTTTTTTTATTTTGTAAATTTTATGAGAAAAACGTGGGTTTTCGATAATTGTAGTTTTGGGGGCGTGTAGGAGGTACACTGTGTGATGTCATTTTAGGGTGGGCGGTCAGTGTGTTTTTTTCTATTTGTGACGACGTTTGGCGATACAGTGGAAGGTCACAAAAATGTCGGGGCACCAAGTATGAACGATGCTCAAACCACGCTGAAGAGTGTCATGTGGTTTTTCCTATACAAGACATTGTTTCTCTGGTCCTCGTGTCCCGTGCGGTGTATATTTTCTAGTTCTAGTAACACTATAGAGTATAGGCTAGATTTTGTTTTATAAAGTACAGTTGATGTATATTTTCCTTAGTTTCGTGGTTCTAGTAACACTATAGAGTACGAGCCGACCCGCTGCGTACTATCATACGCCGCTGTTTAGTTGTTTTTTTTTTCTACTTTTCAGTAATTTATAATTTGTGAATTCGACAGTACCAATGCTGCCATTGAAAATATTTGCTTAAAAACACTACCCCCCCCCCCCCCCCCACGTGAAAGCAGCCTCCTCTTAGTAACCTCCTCTCAGTTTAAAATCGTTTCAAACTAAATTATCTGCCCCTAATAGCCGTCACCAAACCCGTCTCTATGATTGTAAAATGTAAACAGAGTGAACACCGCTCACCAGATCATGTGGGGGTGGGGTGGGGGTGGTAGTGATAGAGAGGAAGAGAGGGGACTGCAAAGGCGCGCTTGCAGCTTGTTTTCTAACTGATCCCAGAAGAGAATTATATATATAGATAGGCTAGATTTTGTTTTATGAAGTACAGCTGATATATATTTTTCCTTAGTTTCATGGTTCTAGTAACACTATAGACTATAGGGTATAGGCTAGATTTTGTTTTATACAGTAGGGCCTACAGCTGATGTATATGTTCCTTTATCTCGTGGTTTTAGTAACACTATAGAGTATAGGCTAGATTTTGTTTTATAAAGTAGGGCCTACAGCTGATGTATATGTTCCTTAATCTCGTGGTTTTAGTAACACTATAGAGTATAGGCTAGATTTTGTTTTATAAAGTAGGGCCTACAGCTGATGTATATTTTCCTTAATCTCGTGGTTCTAGTAACACTATAGAGAATAGGCTAGATTTTGTTTTATAAAGTAGGGCCTACAGCTGATGTATATTTTTCTTAGTTTCATGGTTCTAGTAACACTATAGACTATAGAGTATAGGCTAGATTTTGTTTTATAAAGTACAGTTGGTGTATATGTTCCTTAGTTTCATGGTTCTAGTAACACTATAGAGTATAGGCTAGATTTTGTTTTATAAAGTAGGGCCTACAGCTGATGTATATTTCCCTTAGTTTCGTGGTTCTAGTAACACTATAGACTATAGGCTAGATGTTGTTTTATAAAGTAGGGCCTACAGCTGATGTATATTTCCCTTAGTTTCATAGTTCTAGTAACACTATAGACTATAGGCTAGATGTTGTTTTATAAAGTAGGGCCTACAGCTGATGTATATTTCCCTTAGTTTCATAGTTCTAGTAACACTATAGACTATAGGCTAGATGTTGTTTTATAAAGTAGGGCCTACAGCTGATGTATATTTCCCTTAGTTTCATAGTTCTAGTAACACTATAGACTATAGGCTAGATGTTGTTTTATAAAGTAGGGCCTACAGCTGATGTATATTTTCCTTAGTTTCATGGTTCTAGTAACACTATCGAGTATAGGCTAGATTTTGTTTTATAAAGTAGGGCCTACAGCTGATGTATATTTTCCTTAGTTTCATGGTTCTAGTAACACTATCGAGTATAGGCTAGATTTTGTTTTATAAAGTAGGGCCTACAGCTGATGTATATTTTCCTTAGTTTCATGGTTCTAGTAACACTATCGAGTATAGGCTAGATGTTGTTTTATGAAATACAGCTGATGTATATTTTCCTTAATCTCGTAGTTCTAGTAACACTATAGACTATAGAGTATAGGCTAGATTTTGTTTTATAAAGTAGGGCCTACAGCTGATGTATATTTTCCTTAATCTCGTAGTTCTAGTAACACTATAGACTATAGAGTATAGGCTAGATTTTGTTTTATAAAGTACAGCTGATTAATCATATCTGGAACCAACAACTTTGTTTCGATGAACTTTTACTGTCCTACACACAAACACTCGAGGAGGCTTCGCTTCGTCAACAAAAAAATAATGTTTACTGTAAATGAATGTTGTTTTTTAAAGATAGTACGTTTTACACCTACTTTATCAATGAACACATTGAAGCGTTGCTACTGTCGGCGAGTGTGTCGAATTGCAAGCAGAGTTAGACGAATGCAGAAGCGTTATCGCGTAGTGTGACAACCAAGTGATTCTTGGTCAGAGCCGGCGTTAGGGGGTGGCAAACGGGGCGGCCGCCCCAGGCCCCGCGCTTGAAGGGGCCCCGCGCTTCAGCAAGGCCATTGTTGCCTGAATTAATTTGTAAACTTAAATAACCTTTGCTCAATTAAATTTAAAAAAAAAAAAACCAACTAAATGGCCGAAGTTGTTGGATGTTAAAACTGAGGCCAAGGCTGATGTTTGTGAGTTTTCCTTTACATGGGCTGGGACAGACCGTTATTCTAAAGAAAGACATTAGTGTCACACATCGCTGGCACGGTCGACTTGCTATTGTCCTGAGGTGACTGGAGATGGCGGTCGCGAATTAGCCCCCGACCTGACATGGGAGGTAAAATCGGGAAAAATGTAAAAAGATACCCTATTGTTTGCGGACCGTTGAAGACGTTTTTTTAGTGAGCAGGCGGGGGTGCCTGTAGTAAACAGTCAGTGACCTGATGATGTCTTGCAGAGGAGGAGGGGGGGGGGGGGTGAGCGGATGGGGACATGCCCCGGAATTCCAGAGTATTTATCCCTAAAATCATAATTTATACACTGTATGAGCATCTTTTTTGTATTTATGCATATTCACCACGATACGCTTGATAGGCATCCATACAGTAATTATGTTCATATTTATTTTATATATTGTCAGGTCATCTTTAAATACATTATACTTGTATTTATTTTTATATTTTTGAAGGGCATTTATACAGTAATTATGTCCATTTTCATTTTGGTAAACTTTAACGGTATTCGTAAAGTGATTAAGCACATGTTTATTTTAATTAATTGTAGGGACAGTGGCGTAGCGAGGTCGGGTGTCACCCGGTGCCGCACTTAATGGTGACACCCCACTCCCCCAGAGGCGTAGCGACCCTTCCCGGGAAAAAACTTTCAAATTTTCAATTTGCACCCCCCCCCCTCAAACTTTCGATTTGCACCCCCCCCCCCTCAAGTTTTTGATTTGCACCCCCCCCCCCCCACCTCAAACTTTCGATGTGCACCCCCTCAAGTTTTTCTCTATATATTTTGCTATTTTTTGCCTTGGTGTCACCCCCCTTAATGGTGTCATCCGGTGCGATCCGCACCCCCTCGCTACGCCTCTGTGTAGGGATATTCAGTATAATAGTTAAGGCCATAGTGATTCTTGTTTTAAAATAGTGTGGGCACACTAAACAAATTATAAAGTCTATACTGTTTGATACATCGGGCCGAGACTGTTTTATAGTAAAGTTCTCCTGATTTCTAAAACGTCTAAATTACCGGCAGTCCGAGCATGCCATCGCGAAACTCATAAATAACATGGTTCACTTTCTAATTATAGACACGGACCTTCTCTTGTGAGAACGCGGTCTTAACCTGTAATGTAATACGTGGACGCTCTATACACACGCACCTTCTCTTGAATGGCTGCGGTCAGAGATCCAGTAACGTAGTACCCGAACTGATTATTTTTTTAGGGTTTGGCGTCCCATAGATTTAAATGTACAGTTATTCTTCACGGGCTTCACCTCACCCCACCAACTGTCACCCCCCCCCCCCCCCAGTGTTCCACCTTACTGAGCGTCCGTGATTACATTTGAGTAATTTCATTTGGATATCTATAGCTGTAAACAGTTTTTTTCACGATTCGAGCTTATTCCGAAATCTATCAATGTTTTGCTATTTTCCCCGGCATCCACACACTTTGAATGCCACTGTTAACCCTCGATAAATTGAGAAAATATCGATACTATCACCTGCCACTGTGGACCAATTTAACGTTGCTTCAAAGTGCACGAAGGTATTAAGTCAGCCAAACAGTGCCTTCAGTACATTTGGAGTATTCGGGATTCCTTTCCCAATACAGCGATCGCCTACCGAATCTTGCAAACTGTTCGAGTCACAGTGGCAAGCGCCGAAAGAAGTTTCTCCAAACTGAAGTTGATCAAGAACTATTTGAGATCAACGATGTCCCAAGACAGGCTCTGCGGCCTGTCGATTCTGTCAATAGAAAAAGACATAGCCTCCAGTTTGGACTATGATGATATAATCATGGAATTTTCCTCACGAAAGGCAAGAAAAGTAGATCTTCGTTTGTGAACGTACTGGTAAGATTTTTATAAATAAACATTAATGTAAAAAAATCAGGTTTTAAGCTGACGTTCATCGTCTCTTTAATGCGTGTCTCAAACTTATATCTGTTTTATTTTTTACTTTTCAAACAAAAAGCCTTAACAGAAAAAAGCAACGTTTCAAAAGCACTTTTAAGTAAACAAATTATTTGTTAATCAGTGTCTTAATGTTAATACGACATTGATAAACAGCTTAAAAATACCATATATATCGTTATAAATATTAATTCGCTTTGAGAAGAAAAAAAAAACGCCTCACTGTACATGTTTTATTTAATTATACACCAATGAAAAAAATATAAGGCCCCGCGCGGATGGTTGGCCATAGGCCCCGCGTACCCCTAACGCCGGCTCTGTTCTTGGTTGCCGCCACTAAACTTACATAATCGGGTGGGTCTAAGCAATGGCGCAGGCATGGATTTTTAGGGGTTAACTTCCCCCCCCCCCCCCATAGACACTCAGTAGCAACTAACTTAGGGTGTAAAGATAACTACAGAACTATTGATAACGACCTGCTCCTGTCACTTTTATATATATATATATATATATATATATATATATATATATATATATATATATATATATATGTGTGTGTGTGTGTGTGTGTGTGTCTATATTACTTGTTTTTCAAGTCTACCCCCATACCACTTTTTTTAATAAGATGTGTTCTGCGCCATCACCTATAGAGAATTGGTTTTCACACCTTACTTTCGGTCTTAAACAAAAAAGAACTCAGTGTCGCTAGTGTCAGACCGTTCGCTCCTCAGATCCTCGCTACGCCACTGAACGGCTGTGTGCACCTACTTCCAGTAAACCTTACTATGTAATCTGCTGCACCGACAAGATAATCGAGTCAGTATGTTACTCTTACGTACTGATGTGCAGCGACTTTGACCGTAATACGGTGCCAGAGTTAGGTCAAAGATAACTAAACTACAGGCCTCAAATCTCACGAAGTTTTCCGTGGCTTTGTTAGCCAAGCACCATGGCCAATAACTTAGCGTTACTAGCTGTAGGCTTGATAGCTGTAGCAATAAAAGTTTTATATTTAGATCGAGCCAGTCTGCCATTGGTTACAAGATTTAACGATACTTATGATTATATTGTTGGTAAGTGTATATTTCAAATGTAACACTTGTATTGCTGGTACGATAAGTTAAAAAGATTTGAGCTTTTAGTGACATCTAATCTAATAAAGGATGCGATCCCTTCGACGTTTAAGATGTCGAGGAGTTTGATTTTTGTTTGTTTAATTTAATCATGCAAAGTCAACTTTCAGTCACAAAGTGAATAATTAAAGTCGGTACGACAGTTAATTTTTTAATTTTAAAATTGATGAGACTATGTAAGCCAGACTGTTAAGGAAATGACGTCATTATAGACAACATAAGCTAGACAGTTGAGGTTAAAAGACATCACAGCCAGAGTTTCTTCCAGGCACCCCCCCCCCCTCCAGAATGAAATGGAATTATATAGAAAATATATACTTTTAACAGTGTCCCCCCCCCCGCCGGGAATTGTAGTCCGCCACCCCCGCCCCCCCCCCCCCCCCCCCACCCCCGGAGAAAAAAGTCTGGAAGAAACACTAATCACTGCGGATTTCAGACTCCACTGTTTACACTTTTCAATAACAAACCCTCTAATTATTTAGTCGGAGCCGGTTCTGCCGGCTGTGTGGTTGCCAACCGGTTGTCCGAAGACCCCGAGGTGAGGGTGCTGCTGCTGGAGGCGGGGGAGGACGACTGGGGGGTCCCACAGATCACCATCCCGGGGCTGGCCGTCACAACGTGGAGGACCAAGTACGACTGGGCCTACAGCACAGAGGCCGACAGCCAAACCATGGCCGGATTTTTAAACGGGGTAAGGCGTTTTGTTTTGTTCACGTAGCTGCTTTTATACACCCGGCCAGGTTCAAACCCATCCCTCACTCGAAACACACACACACACCACGTTACGATAATTGATAATTATTACTAAAATTAATGTTTTCCTTAATGTTTTTCCATAATTTTTGTCTTTTAAAAAACTTAAAATAAATGTTACTTAACTCTAACTTCCCCACTTCCATCCCACGACATTTTGTCACCCAAGTTCTAATGGACAACCATCAATTGTTTTGGCCGGTAAAATATTTTTAGAATCCATTATGTATTCGCTGTGGTTTCAGTTAGTAAAAGGGGAATAATTAAAGAAATACCGATAAAACAACATGCCACGTTGCAAGGGAAACAACAAATGATAAAATTATTCCAGTTGTTGGGACAGAGTAGTGTCCCTTTACATTTCGGCACCAGCAGAAAAACAACCAGAACATTAATTTATAGTTTATATGGGCTTTAAACATAAATTGAAGTGTAAATATTTTCTTTTTCTCATAATACTGCATATCTCTCCTCATTATGTGGAACCTCTCACTCAATTCCTTTGGAGATTAACCTTTTAACTTATTTTAAGGAACTAATTTAAAGAACACTCAAACAATTTTATTAAATGAAATATAGGCCTATGTTACGGATATTGATGTATTTCTGAAAAAAAATTGCAACATTGTTAGTTTCTATAAATTCTAGACAAGAAATCAAGGTCTAGCTGCAAAAGGTAAAGCTGAAATCAGAAATAAAACTCAGACGAGCAGAATATACGCGAAATAACGTACAAATATGAGTGAAGAGCAGAGATCTACTTTGTAGTTTATAATTAATATGATTTATCAAATTAAGAATTAAGCAAAAATTTTTACACCCGTTTTACGATAGATCAAGTATTAAATAAAACGTTAAATCTTTATGTTTCTAAATGAACCTGTTTACACGTATCTATTGTATGTAACTTTTTTTTTACACCACCTACTACTATCTCCCCCTCCCCTCATGTATGGCAGCTGAAGAGGGCTGCAGCTATAATAAAGCGTCCACACCATTTCGATTGTTCCAGGCCTCGTTCTGGCCCCGGGGTAAGGTGCTGGGTGGTAGCAGCAGCATCAACGGCATGCAGTACGTCAGGGCCTCCAGACACGACTACGACAGGTGGGCGGAGTACACGGGGGTGCCGGACTGGGACTACAAGCACCTCCTGCCCTACTTTAAAAAAATGGAGAACATGGAGATCCCAGAACTGAAAAACTCAGGTAAATCCTGAAATATCGTTCAACCATTTTTTAAAAGTCATACTGGAACTAGTTACTTACTTATGGCTACCTATGCGTTAATGAATAATTAGTGAAAATAATAATGATAGTAGTAATAACAACAACAACCATGATACATGTTATAATAAAACCCTATGTACTCTGACTGTCCACAGAATATCACGGACAAGGCGGGCCAATCCCAATCAACCGTATTAGGTCCCAGCCTGTTACGAAGAAAATAATCGAAGCAGCTGAACAAGTTGGATATCCCCATAATATAGATTACAATGGGAAAACAATGGAAGGTTGGTAATACAAAGTTCTCTCCCTTGCCGTGTAGCACGGAGTTGAGTCGTTTTTATGTATAGCCATTAATTACATAGTAGTTTACACTATTGTTAGGAGCTTAATTGTTTCTTGATCAGTTTTTTATCGTTCCACCCCGTTAGCAAAGTATGTAAATATGCCTATATTCACAAAATTACCTCCTGTTTTTTCTATCCCCAAATTATTTCTCCTGCTGATTCTCCAAAACTATCCCTCTTTCGGACTCCCCAGCTAATCAAACTTTAATGCTTCTTTAATTATCTCCCTTCCTTATTCCCCCAATTATCTCCCTCCATAATTCTCCCCAATTATCTCCCTGCACGCAGGCATCTCCCACTCCCAGGTGAACGGGAAGAACCAAGAGAGATGGAGCTCCAGTCGAGCTTTCGTTCACCCAGCCATCGACCGCCCAAACTTGCATGTGGCTGTACATTCTCATGTCCAGAAGGTACTGTTAACCTTTGAGGCGTCCCTTTAGTGCTAGTATCGTGCTAGTAGGCCTGCTTACATTTGCCGCACACGTATCCAAACAGTTATAAACGTCTTCATATCACTGATATAATCAGTAGCAAACATTCTCTTATTTAAACACTATTGAACAATCTCACATTCAATTTTTCAAACGGTAAGCCTACAAAACAATCCCAAATGTAAATATTACTGCACATTCTCATATCAAAAAGTATTTACCATTGTCATATCAAAGTAGCAAATTATTCAAAAGTTTGTATACTGTAATATGGTAAGCCAAGCTAATAGGCATCAAAAAGTTTAACCTTTTGATAAACGAAGTTAAACTTACTGTATAAATATAATGAGACGAGTGTTTGACTACCCACCTTCTAGGTTGTGATAAAAGACAAGAAAGTACAAGGGGTGGAAGTGATACGAGAGGGCAGCAAATACGTGATTGGTGCTAAAAGGGAAGTAATTCTGTCAGCTGGGGCTATAGGATCTCCGCATATTCTTCTCTTGTCAGGAATTGGTCCAAAACAACAGCTGGAAAGTTTCAAGGTAGAGAGTGTATAAGGGGAGATAAGCAAGCATCTATTTTTAAACAAAATTCAAAATACATTTTAAACTGTAACTTTGATTAAACTGTAACTATAATTTTTAACAAAAAATATGGACAATAGAAAAAGTTAGGATAGTTAAGTTTATATTTTAAAAAAACTAGTTTTAAAAATTCTGTTTTAATTTTGTCAGATCCCAGTGGTGCAAGATTTGCCTGTGGGTGAGAATCTCCAAGACCATTTGTTTTTTGATGTAGGGGTGAAAATCAACCAATCACTGACTTCCCCATCTGATAGATTTGACGATTGGTGGAATTATCTGGAATACAAAATCTTTGGCACAGGTAAGTTGCTATCCTGGGACTACAGGGCTGGTAAGTAGGTCACCAATCAGTTCTATGGCTCATTCAGGTTTTATTGAATCGCAGAGGCGTAGCGACCCTTCCCGGCGCCCGGGGACATACTTTCAATTTGGCGCCCCCCTCGGGAGCAAATTTTCGATTTGCACCCCCCCCCCTCGAACTTTTCATTTGCACCCCCCCCCCTCAAACTTTCGATTTGCACCCCCCCCCTCGAACTTTTCATTTGCACCCCCCCCTCAAACTTTCAATTTGGCGCCCCCCTAAGGTCGGCGCCCGGGGACATATGTCCCCCCCCCCCGCCCCCCCCCCCCCCCCTCGCTACGCCTCTGTTGAATCGTAGAACTGGTCAGTGACCAACTTACCAGCCCTATAAACATCCACATTTTATACAGTTGTGGTGATGGTATCATTTAAGTACATGTATTTTAATGGAGGTAGGTTGACTGCTTTTAAAAGAATTTTTTTATGAAAATTTAAAACCTAAGAAACATTTTTTGTCACAGGTCTCTTAACTTCTGCATATCAAGTTGAAGTTTTGGCTTTCAAAAGTACAACCAAAGAGACAAAAGCAAAAGACTGGCCAGATTTAGAAATACATTTCTTCACTTACTTACCTCACTTGAGTATAGATGGCTTCAGTTACACAGAAGAGGCTAGTTTTTACTTTTTTATATGTGTTCAATTTAAACACTGCATGCACTTTGTTGTAGAATGTAGAATTTTTCAAATAATTTATTAAACGTTTTTTTTTTTAATACTTAATACTTGTTAATACATTTAAAATTAAAATTGTTGTACTATGTGGCATTTAGGTTTTGATTTAAAATAGCCAGGTTTTTTGCTATAAACAGGTAAAAGGAGACATGGCAGAAAGAGACAAAATACAGTATGGCTTTAGATGTCTCCCTTCACTCCTGCGACCAGAGAGTAGAGGCAGTGTTTCACTCAGATCTTCTGATCCATTTGATTATCCAATTATTAAGGCTAATTACCTCAGAAAGCAGCAGGATATAGATCTCTTAATTAGAGGTAACTTCAACTGTTATAAAGCTGCTAAATTAAGGTCAATTCAAAACTTCCAATTCATCTGTTGATTGAATGTTATAAAGTTGTGCTTCCATCACTTATTTTAAGTTATCCTAAGATGTGAATCAACCAATAGTACAAATAAAATTTCCTAAGCGGTTATCCAAAAATGCTCTATCTGCTTTTTAAAACTCTTCTACTTCCCCATCCCCGGGAACAGGGCATTTCCCCCCTGTCAATTACCCCCCGGACATTTCCCCCCCCCCGACATTACCCCCCAGAGTAATTACCCCCCTATCAATTACCCCCCTGTCAATTACCCCCCGCCCAGTAGGACATTACCCCCCGGACAGGGTTAGAGTTAGGGTTAGGGCTAGGTTTAGGGTTAGGTTTTGGGCTAGGTTTAGGGTTAGGGTTAGGGCTAGGGCTAGGGTTAGGGCTAGCGCTAGGGCTAGGGTTAGGGTTAAGGTTAGGGTTAGAGCTAGTGTTATGGTTAGGGTTAGGGTTGTGTCTAGCGTTGGTTTTGGTTTTGTGTGAAGTTTTAGGCTAAGGTGGATGCTTAGGTTTTGGTCTTTTTCTTAAGGTTTGGATTAAAGTAGTATAAAGGTATAGAATTCTAGTTAGAGTTTGGATTCTAACTTGAAAAGGGGGGGGGGGGGGGGGGGGGTAATTCCCCCGGGGGGTAATTGACAGGGGGGTAATTGCTCCAGGGGGTAAATACAGGGGGGGAAATGTCCGGGGGGGAAATTTCCAGGGGGGTAATGTCCTGTAGCCCCCATCCCCATCATCACAAAAAGCCAGACTCCAATGACTTATCGCCCCAGCCTATCACCCCCCCCCCCTTCTCAAAATGGCAGTTTCTTGGGGTTTTTTATTAGTTTTTTTGTTTTATAATGTTGACTACATTTAAGAGTTTACCAATTAACTACAAATGTATTCAGGAATTGGCGAGTGTAAACAAATTGTGGCAGCCCAGCCACTGAAAGACATTGGGGCAGAACTGACAGAGAAGACAGAGGCTAAGCAGTGCATTCAACACAAATATGACTCCAGTCAGTACTGGACTTGTGTTCTCAAACAAAGACCTCTGACCATCTACCATCCTGTAGGGACTTGTAAAATGGGACCCAGTGGGGACCCTACAGCTGTTGTAGATCCACAGTTAAGGTTAGTTCTGTTCAGTTAATTACTTCTGTATTTCTGTAGTTATCAGTTAAGTTTTTTATATCAATTTTAATCTCATTTAAAGTTGCTGTTTAGGTTAGTTGTCATTTGACCCTCAGTTAAGGTTAGCTCCATAAGTTATCATCTTGCAAGTTTTAAAAAATGTAAGGGGTCAGTCTGGCTGTGGAGCAGACAATGACTTAAGTGTGGTACTCAGGCTTGCAATATGTGCTTCAGTCTATCCAGATCAGATAGGTAACCAACTCTACTTCATGAAAGGGCTACATAGTGCTGACCTATAATCCCTCTAAGCTGCGCAGTTCCGCTGCCACACAGTAATTTTCAACTGCTGCGCAGTAATTTTGTAAAATACATATATCCTTGTATAAGACTTTTTAAACACTGTGCACACAAAATACACATTGCACACAAAACTTTTTCCCTTTAGAGGGAACATTGGTGCTGACCACACAATTCCTTAACATATTGAGGCGAAAGAGATGGACATTCCTTTATCTGCCTTAGACAACCAGGATTATCTAATAGAACCCACTATCTTTTATGTTATAAGGGTGGTGAAGGGATGTAAGAATTATAAGTACTAAATGCTTTTCTTGTATCTGGATTTGTATCAGTAACTATAATCAAAATGTGACTTTCAGAGTTCAAGGTGTGTCAGGACTTCGTGTTGTAGATGGCTCCATCATGCCATGGATTGTCTCAGGAAACACACATGCTCCCATTGTTCTCATAGCTGAGAAAGCATCAGACATGATCAGGGGGAGACCACCACTGACACCTATAATTAATTTATGATCAGAGGGAGAGCACCACTGACATATAATTAATGTATAATTTAGAATAAGTAATGTTACACTGTTCATTGTAGTTGTCTAATTTTTTTTTTAAACTGTAATTTTATATCTGGTTACATTTTAGTACTCATCTTGATGATGTAAAATTTTACTACTCATCATTTCATTTTGGTTTATCTCGGGTAACTATTGCCATGCCACATAGAAAAAACAAAATGAACCATTTAATATCACCTCATAATTCAATGTTAGGTCACACTGCACTCATCAAACAGCCTTGTGACTGCAATATTTTTCCAACATATTTGAAATGTAGATCTAGTGTCAATGATCAAACATAGGTTGTACATCTCTAGGTCATACTTATGCAGAAAATTGCATAATCAAAGGTTTACAGGAAGATGTAATCATCTAATCCAAACATCTTACTGTGGATAAGGCAGTAATTTTGTTGCCATCTCTTGTAAGGTTTTTTAAAAAACTTAGCTCAAGGAACAAAAGGTATAATAAAACAATACAAACAATATAAAACAGTAAATAACTTGTATTTTTTTGTATTAATTTAACAGTAACACTGAACTTAAACAAATGAAAGAAAAAAGGATCAGCAGTTTTAGTTTTAAAATATAATCTCTAATGATCTGATCAAGAAGAGAGTAACTGTATGAAAGGGATAATAAAAAAATCATTGAACAAGTGTCCTTGTATTTTGTTCATTGTAAGGTTACATCAATGATCGCCCTCACCAATATGCTATGATCAGACATAAGTCAATTTATTTACATGCCTTTGTGTCTAGGTAGTTTTTATCTACAATATAAAATAATAAACCAGATCTAACTTAACCAATCTTATCATACTTATGAGTTAATGATTTGTGAACTAACATGTGAAATGACTGTAGCTTAAACATGTGATTGATATTATCACTAACATTAAACAACAATCAAAGTGTATTGTTAAAGTGATTTTTAAATGCAATAAGCTACAAGCAATGTGTATGAACACTAAAATTGACTTGTCTTGGTATAAACAAAGCATTAATACTCTAGATAAGAAAATGTTCTTGATATTGGTGAAGCATAATGTTTTGTAGTTGATAAATGTACAAATAAATATTGTAGTCCTTCTGTTCATTAGAACATTCAACACACTGTATAGTGATATAAAAATATAACTTTAAAAAACATGTAATGCACTTGACTTGAAGTTTTCTTTAGTTAATTTTTTTGTTTAAATTTAATTAAACACTGAAATATATAGAAAACCAGCTCATTACTTTATCAATTAACATTTTTATGAAAAACTTGAAACAAGAAAATTTGAAATCTTCAAGGATCAAATCACTATAAAAAGAAAAAATTAAATGTTTCATTTAAATGTAAAAAGGTCATGATATTTTAAGTTTTATTTTACAGCTAAAGGGTAACTAGGCCATTAGAAATGAAGTATATAACAAAGATTTAGGCGAAATTTTAAAATATCAAATATATTTACATAAACACATTTTTATCTTTAACAAAGTTAGTATTAAAATAGAGTTTATATATATTTTTATGTTACATATCAGTGCCCCAAAATTACTATGTTTTTGTATGTGAGTGAAACAAAAACTAAAATCATGTACATAAAAGTGTCTATTTAAAAATTACTAAAATACACATCACACAGTTTTAGTTACAAGTGATCAGTTAAAATACTATTGACAACAAAGGGCAACAAATTTGCACAAGGTGAATTCTAAAATAACTGTGCACCATTACTTTCTTACACTAAACCTACAAGTTAAGGCTCAAAAAATTACAAAATAAAACGGTTTTAAAAAGCCAATAATTTATTTTACATTGCATATTATGTAACTGAAAGTTTTGCAAGTTGCAAATGACCTTTCATCTCACAACAACCAATATTTTATAAAATTAGACTCTTGTCTAATATACAGAACTGGAACAAGACAAAAAAAAAACATGGGAAATCTAATATACATAACATGTGAGATAAATATTTTTTTTTAAGATGCAGTTATCTGTACAAGTGTAATAACATACTCTGGTAGGAGTACATAAAGCGTTTTTATGTACAGAAAAATACAGTATGTCTGGGATGTATATAGTGGATACAGCTCATGAATAGATCACAAAGCTTTATTTTTGTTTCCTTTTTAAATATTCAATAAGATACAGGAATGATATTTTAATAGTTTTAGAAAAACATAAAAATTTTAAAATATAAAAACTTTAAAAGGTTAACAGATAATAAATTGGTAAATAGGTAGAATGTTTATTAAATTTAATATTGTTCTTTGGCCAAAGAAATATACTAATCAGTCCTTAAATCTTTATTTCACTAAAAAAATCTGCATTTGAAAATCATTTGAATGTATAGTCTAAAATAGCATCATGTTACTTCGCTGTAACTTACACTTTTTTATCCATTAACAACAGATGCTTGCAAATTTTAAAAAAATATATGAATAAGAAGAATATGTTGAGATAAAAAATAAACCTTAGCTTATCTAGAATTACACTTCATACAAACGAATGATGCGTCAAATGAATATGAAAGAAATGTTTATAATAAAACATGGTTTTAACCTAATAATAAGCAATCATTTAGGCCACTAGTGTTAATACCTTTAGAAGCACATCAAAACTTCATTCATCACTGTACACAGTATCTCTGCTCACTTTCACAACAATTTGTCTGGCAAGTTCAAATTTAACTTTTGGCACAACACAGTCCAATAATTTATTGTCCAACCACTTCTTATAAACTCCACCACAATCAAGGTTATAGCTATACATTAAGATTTACTCCTTTTCTTGATAGCATTTTAAGTTTTTATTTTTCCACAACCATCACAGAGTTGTTTCTTAATGCTTATAAATGTGAATAATATAAGAATATGATTTGAATATAATCATCAAAGGGTACTATTTCTCCAGTTTTGCATTTGCAAAGAACAACACACATGGGAAATATATTTTAAAAGCAGTTCTAAAAATATAAGTGAAAAGAATTTCCAGTGTATTTAGTGAGCAATGTCCTAAAATGTAATCTTGTTTTATTCAACAAGTCTATTTATCTTCAGTATGGTTTGCCAATGAGGAAGAACAAGGTTAAAATTAATTTTAAAAAAAAACAAGTATTGTTACTGACCATTAAGTTGAGATTCAATAGACCTTAATGTTTTAGAAGACTTTGGCTTGTCTTTGATGGTACCTTCTCCAGCTTCAGCAGCAAAGTATTTCATCTTCTCTCTGAATGACATCCTGTCTGTGCTTGGTGTACGACCTGTTGACTGGGATGCTATTTTGGCTTCAATTCTAGAGCGGGGGTCTCTGTAAACTTCTTGTGCCCCAATGACATTAGGGGTGTTGTTTGATGTACTGTAGACAACATCAGTTCCTCGATTGGTGTTTGGAATAGAGCCATTACTTTTGTTAAATAAGGGGGGATTAGGGGAGTCAAACACATCTGCCTCAGGACTAAAATTAGGAGGGGGGAGCATCTCCTCTATCGATTGTGATCCTGTTGGAGATTTGTATGAAGACACTGAGTGATTAGGTGTGCGTTCTTTATAAGTATTCATCTGAGTATTGAATGAAACTGATTTTTTTGCCGGGGGAGGAGGCTCATTACTGTTCCGTAAAGCAGAAGGCAGAGCACCTGTAGAGGCTGCATTAGGATTAACAGGTGGGGGGAAATCAGGGTTGACTCCTCTAAAGGATGCTCTGTGCTGGTTAAATGTTTCATATGATGAGTTTCTAGCAGGAGGTGGAGGGGCTGGTTCAGGCTGGCTTGGAATATTTGCATACTGAGAGTATCCTGGTGATGTTGGACTGGATTGGGTTTGAGAATTCATTGAATCAAGACGTTTCTTTTCATCTTCAACTCTTATTGGCCTATTTTGATCTATTCTCTGCTGCCTTTCTTGGGCCAACTGTTTTTGAAAATATTCTTCCTCTTCTCTTCTTGCTTCTGCTCGTAGCCGTTTTTCTTCTGCATCTCGTTGATCTTGTAATTCTTGTCGACGTTCACGCTCCTAAATATTTTTAAACAAATTATTATGTTAACATCTTTAGAGCGAATAAAATTATATGTATAAATTTTATTAAATGGACAGAAATAAATCATATAAGACAAAGTAAGAGATAGTGTAGTTCATTTTAAAAGATAATTTATTCTTTTTGTTTAATATAGTGGAATTAGTTAGTGAAATATTTCTTTTAATGTATCAAAACTTACAAACTGCCTCTTTTTGTTCAGTTCCTCTTCCCTTCGCTGATTAAGTTTTTCTTCCTCTTTCTGTAGTAATCTTTTTTGTTCTTCATAGTTTTGACGTTGTTTATCTCTCGTTTCCTTTTCATAAAGAAAATTAGGAATTATAATTTACTATATACTGGAAAAAAGGAATCTTAAATATTTTTATCCCATTTATCATATAAAGTACCTTCTGCAGTCGTAGTTGCTCCTGATATTCTTTAGATCTTCTTTCTTGCCTTTTCTGCATTCTCAATCGCTGCTCTTCTCTGTCTTGTTCATGCATTTCCAGTCTTCTCTCAAGACTGAAATACAATAAATATTCATGCTAATACTACCTCTAAGTAAAACTCTCCTAAATAACAAGAAAAAGGCAGCCATTAAATATACAACAATGTTTGTATAATGGAGAACAAAGCTCTACTTACGCTTTTAATCTCTCGGCTTCCCTAGACGCATCAGCTCTCTGTTGAGCTTGTTCAAAATCTAGCATTCTTGCTCTAGACCTTTCCAGCTCTTCTTTTACATTCTCTATTAATCTTTCACGGGTCTGGAATTGCATAAGATGAAATAAAACATGTAAATCTTAAAATAGAGTTAAAAAACTAACTATAAACATACAATTGACAACCTTATGAAGTCTGTTTACAGTCTCAAAAATATATCACTTCATTGATTCTTTCAATGGAATAAACTATTTTGTGTACAAGAACATGGGATGTCACTAAAGCAGAATGTCATTTAGAGAGTTTGCTACAGCCAAAATAAAAAAAAGAATGCTGTCTCAATGTGCTTCATGTAAATAATAGGCCCATATTATTATTTGGGATTACATCAGAGAAAACAACAAAATTGTCTCATTTTGCAATTTATATACAATCTTTCTATCATTTTTGTAGTAATGAACATCTGATATAGAACAGGATTATACTCACAAATAATCTTTCTGCCATTTCGTCATCATCTTCATAATCATAATCTCCCTTTTCAGCAATTTCTCTAACCCTCCTCTGGAACTCCTGCTCTGTTTTTAACTTTCTCAATCTTTCTTGCTCCTAGAAGAAACAAGTCAAATCCATAGCTATTTCAAATTTTAAAGAAAAAGTCTGACAAATTAATTTTTTAAAAAGACATATTACAGATAAGCTTTACTGATGTTTATAAATTGTTTCCCAACTTATAAATTTAAACTAAAAGTGTGAAAATTTCAAAAATACATAATGAATTACTAATAAGTATTTGGTTTTCAAAAACATACTGAGGGGTTTAAGAATGGCCTTGATTCTAATTCAGCTATTTCTTGTTCTCTTGCTCTATAAAGTTCTTCTTGTTCTTCTTCCTCTGCTTTTTCTTTAGCATCCCTATCCCATGCTGATCTGTTATTGATGTCTTGCTTTAACTTTGGTTTATTGAGAGGCACAGCAGGTTTAACCTAAATACAAACAAAATTTTACAATAACATTAAGTCTGGTTTCACCCACCAAGTTGTAATCATTTCCTGTTTAATTTGCTTAACAATAGCAGCCTTAAAATTAATATGCTTTAGAACTACAACATATTGTTGTAACACATTATTCCTGATCAATTTTACAATTCAACGAAAATATTAAATAACTATCACATTTTCCTCCTTCAAATATAAATAATTACTCTATCAGGTGTAGATGTTCTGCTTTGAATGTCAATAAAAGACAATCTCCTTGGAAATAAAATAACCACATTCTGCATAGTTTAATTTCAAAATGAAAATATGGAGAGAAAAATGTATTTTAAAGCTAGCAAATTATGATTATCTATGAACAACTGACATTATTATGCATTGTGTTCCTAAACAAAGCCTGAGTAAACTGAACTGTACCTGAAATCCTTGGGCTTTCAAAGACTGATTGTCATAAGTGTCGTATTCAGATGGTGGTTGTGGTACTGGTGGTGGCTGAGGCTCTCCTGAACTAAAACCAATGTTTTGGTAGTTAGGGTGAGAGTCATTTCTGTAGTTGTCTTGCACAGGTTGATATCCCATAATAGCGGTGTTATCTATGCCAGAGGGAAGCACTCGGTTTATTGGCTGAACAGCTGGTTGATGGACAGGAGGTTGATAACGCTGCTGTGGCTGTTGTGATGGTTGGTAAAGCTGAGCCTGGGAGGGTTGCTGTGGCTGGGTATTTGGTCTTGGGTGCCTAGAATAAGAGGGGAAAAAATGTATGTCCTTTAATAGTAAAATAAACATATTTGTATTATGCATTAACAATAAATGTATGGGAAGTGAAAAATCTAAGCAGATATATGTAATTTGATAATGCATGAGAAAATTTTAGTGACAACTAGTTAGTATGTACCTGTCAGCCAAGAACTGGTTTGTTGCATTGATAGTCTGCATCAGTTTCTGCTGCTCTTCAGCAAGCTTCTGTTCTAGTAATGCCTCATTTGATGGTGGAGGTGGAAGGGTTGGAGGCTCCTCAAAATTGTCTTGGTATGAACCAGGATGGGTATTATTGTGCAATGGTGGGGGTGGGGTGTCATGAGAATTTGAAGAGTATCCATAAGAATTGACAGGTTCAGGATACCTCTGTTGCTGGAAGTGTTGATTTGTTGGTGGAAGTGATCGATTCTGATCCTGGTAAATTGGACTTGGTAGATTGTTAGTGCTGTTACGATAGTCTGGCTGCTGTGAATAATTTATATCATTACCATACTGTTGCATATTCCTTGGGTCAGGAGCATTTCTTAGATCAGGAATATTTCTTGGATCAGGTACGTTTCTCATATCTGGAATATTCCTCAGATCAGGTGCACTTCGCATGTCTGGAATATTCCTTGGGTCAGTGGTATTTCTATAGTCTTGAACTGGCCCATTTTTGGGGTCAGGAGAAAGTTGTAAATCAAATCTAGAATCATTTCTGTAGTCTGGCTGTGCAGGGATTCTGCTAGCTTGTGGTGGGGCATTTCTTGCATCAAACTGTGGCCCACTAGGTTGTAAGTACCCTGTAGATTGAGGACTGCTGGCCTGATCTAATGACACTGTTGATCTGTTGTCGCCATAGAAATGTGGCTGGGTTTGTCTGTTGTCAACTCTGACCATTGGCAGGTCAGTGTGTTGAACACGTGGCTGATTTTTCTTAACAATCGCTGCAGGCTTAGGACCTGGTCTGGGTTTTAAGTCATTGTCACTGGGTAAACGTGCTAGTTGATGAAAAGCAGGTGGGGGCTCCTGTTTCAATGGAACTGTGTTCTCATAGAAGTTGGGCTGTCTGTTATAGGCACTGTTATTAGCTTTCTGTGGCATACCTTGCTGACTGAAGAGTCTTTCATGAGCTGTGGGTTTAGGTGGAGGGTTATGTTGTGGCTGTGGTGGAGGCTCCCTATTCTGAGCACCAATATTGCTGTAAGGTGGACTTTGCCCCCTGCCAGGCTGTTTGTTGTAGCCACTTCTAGGATCTTCATATTTATCTTGCCACTCCTTTAACTTGCTCCCAACATCTTCTGACTTTGGTCGGGAGACAAAATCTGAATTGTCCCTATTGGCATTGTGAGGATCATAGTAAGCAGACTGTGGTCTAGAATCTCTGTTACTGTTGGAAGAGGTTTTAGATGAAATAGATGACCTATCCGAGTTCTTCTGTTGTACATAACCAGGGGACTGGAACTGATTCTGTGGCTTTGGTTGTCCCGGAATATTCTGTCTGGGATCTACAAAGTTGTACCCTGGCCTACCCTGCCCTTCTCCACCTGCTTTAGGATAAGTGGGTTGGTTTTCATAATCATTGGGTCTTACATCTAGTCTTCTACCACCTGGAGAGTACTGGCCATATCCAGGAGAAGATGGATGCAGCATACCAACAGACTGTGCTGGTTTCATACTTGAGTGCATGTCTGCTCGGTCTAAGTTGGTATCAACATGTAAATTTGAAGTTGATTTTGACCGTGGATCATCTTTGCGGTAGTTATACGGATCATTAGCTCCTGGCCGTGCACTGGCTAGATTTCCAGATGATGGTGCTCGCATTTTGTTTGCATCACCTATTTATAGAAAAATAATATTAATAGTAAGGCAAATTAAATAACCATAAATATGGTAAATAATTTATATATGGAATAATTTCTTTTCTGAATAATAGAAATAATGATGCCAGATTGTTAAAATTCTCAAGAAAAAAAGCTTTCAAAGTTGTAAAATTATGCTAAAAACATTTCACTTACCATAACCATTGACTGGTTTACTATCTCGACCATCATATGGAGGAGGTGGGCCATCATCATTAGGCATTCTATTGTTAGGACCTGGTCCCCGATTCTGGGCAGCTGCAATAACATAAGTGCATTCAACCTTAAGACAAATGGAAGTTTAAGCAGTTACATGCTCTGGTCAACTTTTAAAAATGTAGCTATATGAATTTACATTTCTAAAACTGACCTCTTTGACTTGTAGGTGAGGGCTGACTAAGCAGAGACCCCAAGTTGTGATAGAGGACAGCTCTTTTGGCTACTTTTAATTTGATCACCTGACCAGTTTTAGTCATCAACTCGGCGGCTCTGTAAAATATATCATTTGCATTTTAGTAATGAAATTTCAAGGTTATACTTTCATCATCAATATTTTACAAGGGAAACTATCACTTACTTCTCCTGAGAAAGGCCAACCAGAGATTTACCATCAACCTCTAACAGCTGGTCTCCTGCCTGAAGTCGACCATCCTAAAATTGTTAAATTGAACATAATTATTCTGTTTATAAACATTAGATTGTGTTAATGTAGCTTAGGTACACTATTGTTTAAGACAAAGTTTTCAAACAGAAACAAGCAAATTATACTCACAAGTGCAGCAGCTCCACCTTCAACTACAGATTTTATGTAAATGCCTTGCTGAGCTTGACCTTCACCCTTTCAAATTTAAAATTTTTAATAAAATTTTAATAATTTATTTTACATAAAATTCTTGCTTAATATCTCTTTAAAAAAAAATGTACTGGTTCTTTAAGTATATAAAAGAATATGTACTTAAATGTAATATAAATATTGAAAGTATAAACTTACGAAAGCAGCAACAATACTAAGCCCCATACTGCCTTTGACCTTGTTAAAAGAAACTGTAATGATCTCTGGTGTGGGAGGCAATCCATGTCCTGGACTAACTGGGCTATTCAATTTCATCTAGAGAAATCAAAAGTGAAATTATCTAATGCTGGTAAAAATGGCTAAAATGTTATATTATTTCCTGCAAGATGCATTATTATGATTAGAACTTAAGAGCTTTAAAGTTTTTACAAAAAGTATTTTCTGCATACCATTAAACAACATTTAATAAGTGGTAAAATGAAAAGCTTACATCAGGATAAGGTGCATCTCCCATGTAGACTGTCCAGCTACCAGATGCATTGTTGTTGATAATGAACCGACAAATGCCTGAAAAGAATAAAATGTGATTAAATCTAAAGTTTCTTACAGTACATGGATTAGTTGAGGTAAAAACCTTTGTATTAAGGCCATGTGACACAACCTATTTAAAAATTAGAAGTTACTAGGAGCAACTCACCTGCATTTTCAAGCTGTCTGACAAAATCTGGAAGACCATTAGGAATTCCTCTGATTGTGTCACAGGAATAACCATCTTCAGGCAATAAAAATGGAAGATGTAGATCGTTATCCTCCTCTAATCCCACTTCACGTCCATCAGTCCTTGTCAACTCATCTGCCATATTTTCAGCTATAGAGACAACTCTGTCAATAAATGGACCTGACACCGGGGGTTCATTAGGTTCTGGAATGTAACGAGTCAGGAGAGCGCGCAGCTGCACAGAATTCAGTTTGAAGCAGGTGGAGCTGATGTTTGTGATATCATCTGGACTTGACTTGGGGGCTTGAAGCAAATGTGCTGCCTGTAACAGACAATACGAACTCATGAGCATTCTTTAGAGACATACTATCACATGCAGCATCTTAAATAATATTTTTAGTTTCATATAAACAATGAAAGTGATGGATACCCACTTGTATAATTCTACAAAGATGGCAGTCAGCAGCTAATTCCAAGCCTTGTTTCTCTGCCCAAGCCTCCACACTTCCAAGTCTCCTTTTCAACCGGATTCCCCACACTCGTGTACATAACTGAAGCTGCGGCTCAGTGACAAGAATGTTGAACAGCCACATATTGATGAAATGAAAGAGTTGAGAAAACAGCTGTATCGTCAAAGCTGCATTGACACGGCATCTCCTCAATAACGTCATAGCAGCAGATAATGTGTTAAGGACATCTGCTAGCGTTGGTCTTCCCATGTTGTAACGCTGACCCATTTCTTAAAAGATAGAAGACATTTTAAAAATATTTAGTGATAAAAAAAAAGTCATAAGGATCTTACTTTGTAAATTTGAAAATAATAGTTAAAGCTAACAACAGTCACTTTAAAAAATCTTACCATCATCAACGTCATTAGAATCTGAAGAATCAAGAAAAGCAGGCATGACCCTCTGCAAATCTCCTTGCAGACACCTGACTAAATGATGAAATGCAGTCTGGACGGCTTCTGCCAGCATCTCCTGAGATATAGTACTCTGGTGGTAAATATCTCTGTCTTGTTTGAACATGTGCAACATCTCTGATGAGTTGGCCATCCAGAATGCCAGTGAAGGTGGGTCATTATGATGTTCCTGTGAACAGACAATATTAATAACAGAAAACTGAATCCAAATCTTCTTTTAACACAGTAAATAACTGATATTCTACATAAAGAAAAAATTTTAAATTTAAAAAAAAATTAAATTAAAGATGTGAAAGTATGAATGCGTGAAAATAAATATTTTAAAATATGTAATGTTTATATATAAAACGGAGTGGTCTTACCTGAATGCTCTGTTGGGTCATCTTGGCAGTTTTGCTGACAAAATCAGCTACTAACTGTCCCCTGTAAGCCACAGGTGATCTAGCAGCTAACAAATTTCTAGCTGCCATGTATAGTGTATATGTTGGAGCTAGCTTAAATTGAAGCTGTTTACTGTTCACCTGTAGGATAGAGGCTTGAAGCAAGCGGTCCTCAGCTGAAAGTAGGTAAATTTATAATTTAAACCATCACACCTTCAAGCATAATACTTAAATGTATGTCTTACATTATTTGTATTAACATGAAATATTATGCTTAATATGAAATTATATTTTGGTCACAAACCATCAATAAAATATTCCACAGAAGCAGGCAGCAAATCTTCCATTCCTTGTGAAGATCCTGGCGATCTGTCAGAGTTACTCCTGGAAACATAATTTTAATGTGAAATTCAAGAACTATAAAAGCTAATGAAACTAACAAATAGACAATTCCATTATATTCAATTCACCTTCTTTGTTGACCTTCCCAAGATGGTGGCCTTTGAAGAGGAGAAGATCCCTGTACAGTTTCAATATGGCCATCAACATCAAAGTTTGTTTCTTGAGGCTGACCTCGAGGAGTCTTGTTAGGAAGTTGATATGGCTGGTTCTGCATTGGTGGCTGCATATAAAATATGTCAGGTATATGTTCAGGTAAAATATGTTTGGTATAACTTGAACATCTCATTTCTTAAAATAAAATAATTTTAATTATACTTAAATAAAGATTTTAAAAACTGTCAATGCAAAATTTCTATTGTTTTAACCTCAAGTTTTTATAACTTTACATAAAGGCAATAAAGTATGGTTTAAGCAATAACATTTACACTCATTTGGAGTGTTTTGATAATAGACATGTAGCCAATCTCCTAATTTACTGAGTAAGACAACTCCTACCTCATCAAACCTTGGGTCCAGAAACCTGTACAATTTATCTTTGCCAAACTGTACTGTCATGCCATGCTTCAGCATTGTAGTTTCATAGATTCTCTGTCTTTCTACATATGTTTCAGCATCATGACTGTTAGGAGTGACTGTTACAATGCCTTCGGTATGTGCAATCACACAATGTCTAGGGCGAATATCACTGCCAGAGAGCTAAACATGGAGATTACAAGAAACATTTTTTACACCATAAACAAAATTATAAAATGTGGAAAATATGCAGATTGATTGCTTAATTGTGACTTTTAGTAACAAGGTGAAAGTTATGGTCCCTGTACAGCTGATTTGTTGGGTTTTAAAAACAATTATTTAACCACTGCTACCATAGTGATGACATAATTATTGTCATGATTTTAGTAAGCAGAAAGTGTTTGATTCTGTTTATAAGTCAAATACCTGTAAAAAGTGTTTGCCATTGTATTCTTGTCTGTTATTTACAACTTCTGTTACATTAACAACTTCAGTGACATTAAGTGGCAAAACATGTCGCTTTGGTTTACCTGTGTACAAAATTAAATGAAACAATAGTTTAAATTGTAATGAGATTGGAACATTATAATAATGAAATTTTTGAGTTGGTGCCTTAGCATTTACCTCTAACATTTAGTTCTGTCAAATATGGCAGCATGTCCACATTAGTGTGTCTTTGATCACTTTGGTGATTGCGCAAGTCATCTTGGGACACAGCTCTAGGTCTCTTACTTCTTTTCTTGTAATCAGCAGTCCTTTCCCTCAGCTGAAAGATGATGTGACCTAAAAAAAAAAAGTTTTGAGGATGAGAAATATCTTGTTTAATATTCCTGGTCTGAAATGTGGCAAGCAAACTTATAACTACACATTAAAAAAATAGCCATAGAGTGATGATAATATATTTTACGAGATTAACATATTTAAATGTTAAAGCATCTCGGACCATGAGATTTAGATGCTAATTAATATTATTTAAATAAAATAACATAATAATAAAGAGAAAACTTAAGATAAAAAAAATTTTTTTACAATACAACTAAAAAAATGATCAATAAATTATGGAAACATACATAGTTTTGAGGTGCAAATGGATATTTGAAGCACACATTTGATACACAAAAATTCCCCTTAATGTTCTAGCCTATTGTGATATTAGTAGCTTGTTTAATAATTATGGCAAATTATCCAACACCATTCAACATATAATTGTTATTTCTAAAAAAATCAGGTGATCATAGATGAAATTGTAATTTTAATGCTAGTAAAAAAGTTAGTATCCATTCCAATAATATTTAAAAATTATTTCTCAGAAGTGCCATTAGTGCCAAGCATGATGCAGTGAAAAATGAAATGACAATATTTAAAGCTACATCGATATATGTGTGCATGCCATTTGCAAACCTCCCGTACCCTGACCTCTGTGTTTCGCATGTTGCATGACAATAGCCAGAGGACACTCATTGTCATCCAGGACACGCTCATCTCCTGTTGCTGTTCCACCATGGTATTCCATACCTCCAGGTGGTAGCAGGACCTAAACAAATATATTTACAACATACAGTTATATATGTATTTCATTCTCAATACAGAAATATATCCACTCAAAATATCCTTGAATAATTTTCATTATGATATTAATAAAATTCACTATGTATAAAAACATCAGTTTACCTCCACAAGACAGTATTGGGTAGGGTCTTCTTTCTCCCTACCATATTTTTCTAGTGCTTCTTTTACTACAGCAGATGCTGGGTCTGCAGTTGAAAGGAAAAGTGTTTTGTATGGCACTTCTCTTTGCAAGGACTCGCCATAAATTTTAAGTGTTCCTCCTGTGAAATTAAAATAGCACACAGTAAAGTACCACCGGCAAGTAATGTAAATTGCTGACTATGCAAATCAATAATAAATGAAAACCTATTTCAACAGGAGTTCTGGGTTTTCTTTAAGTATTGCCTTAAAAGATAGAAAACTATTTAAATTCTAACATTTTTAATGCATAATTTGACATCAGTGACTTGTGGTTTTATAGAGCAAAAGCCAATGTTCAACTACAAATTGTCTTCAAATATATTTTTATATATTACAAATTGCAGTAGAGCTGAGAAGTAAATACACTTTGTATTTTTTGTTTCATATACAAGTAATGTAATTTCATATGTTACTGCCATTTCCTCCAGAAACCTAAGGACAGGTCAGAGGTTATCTTTTTTAAAACTAGGTCACTGGTAGCATTCCTACAACCCATTACACATACAGTGTTTCCTGGTCACAGACCATTAGGTAAATAGGACAAACTATGAGAAGACTGACACCCTGTTTTGTCAGTGGGAGGTGAGGGGGGGGGAGATGAAATTATAACATAACAGAAGAATAGAATTGAGAGGAAATAAGTATATAGCCTATATATATACATATATGAGAGAGAGAGAGAGAGAGAGAGAGAGAGAAAGTGAGATGAGAAAAAAGATATTTCAATTTTTAAAAGTTGCCCTATATTAATAATTAATCATTTTAATATTTCAGAATGGCTAAGTATAAAACATTTACTGAAGATTCTCATAAACTAAAAAAATATAATTAATTGTTTATCATGTTTTAATATTACTGTTTGGTAATGAATTTTAGGTTTAAAATAGCTGTTACTGCATTAATGTTGCATTATTTTTCTTTATATTTACCACCAAGTACAATTTACATTGAATGAATACAAAACATCAAACAGCTCTGTATTAAAATAAGAGAGAGAGAGAGAAAGAGAGAGAGAGAGAGAGAGAAAGAGAGAAAGAGAGGTAGGGAGAGGGATCAGTATTTGAGAAATGTGCCTTATAATGTTGAAACAATTCTAGGAATGCAATGATATCACGTAAGCTGGCCCACCTGTCAAAAGTGACAGAGAAACGGAATACACACCGCCTCGCCTATGTGCTTGGACCACACCGTGACTCAGATGGGTCAAGACAAGATCGTTACTGATGCAGCATGTAAAGGCAGTCGATTCGATCAATTCTTCCTTGCTCATTAGGCACGCACGGACTAAAGCCAGACAAGGGAGAGAATGAGAGTGACAAGACGGGAAGATTACAGTCACTATCTTGGACGCGCGTCTCCATTGTTTTCGCTAGCCCAAGAGTTGAACACGAGGTGGGGATTGGGTGGTAGAATTGGAAGCTTCAAGTGTAAGCGGTGCATGTTTATTCGCTACAAAGTAACGACAGAATTGAAAAAAACTTGCACACAACGTTGGCGTTTATCATCAATGGTTTACACATTTCACGAGAGTAAATGACATTTTATGAATGACACTTTTCTTAATACATTTTTCCCGCAACCACATATACAAGTTTATAGGGGTAAAATTACACTTAAAAGGAATTCATATATCTCCAATGATTAATGTTATTCTGTGCTCATACATTAGATCGAGTTTAAACTAGAAGCCGACTTTACTAATTGTGTTATTTTAATTATATTCCCATCAGATAATACTGATTTCAACAGCCCTATTAAGTTCAGCAACAACACCGCGTCTGTAAAATAAAAATCTCTAAACTTGAAGCCGTCAAGCTGACTTCCAGCCCAACAAAAGCAGCTTTCAAGTGAACAATGGCCTAGCCAGAGGTAGGTGGGTACCTGGCTGCCTGTATATACAAGGTAAGGCGATGTTTAAACAGCCGCCTGTAATCCCGTGTGACCAGAGCAAGCTTTCAGTTCTAGCGTCTCCTCAACTCACATTCGGCATACAACACACCATAGGACCAGGGGATACAATCAATCTTAGAACACATCAAATCAAATACAAAATAGCTTTAATACTGTCGCCATCTTTTCAAGCTTACTATTAAACAATTTCTCTATATTTACATCTGTGAGGAAAGTGGAACAATTAACAAGTTAACATAAGACAGCAACAAAGTAAAAGGAGAAGATAATCCCGACACATAAATTAACTCTCAAGTCGTGACATCCCCAAAACGTGTTCCTTAAGTCCTCGCCCTCCTCCCCCCCCCCCCCCCCCCTTCCGGTAATTAGCTGACTACGAGCCCGGGGCCTGAGGTCACGAGAGAAAACTGATAATGCCATCTCCCACATTTAAATTTCTTGCTATATTGGCTACGTGATTTCAAAACACGACGCATGCTGCTCCATTGATTCACATACACACACGCCGCCTCTACGGTATAGAAAAATTCGCTGCTATAGAAGAGATTTATGGGGTCAAATGTGTGACTTCGTTCAGTGTATGTATGTGCATTGCAAGCGTTAATCAATCATTCACCAGCTAAGCGTCGCAAATTATGTTCCTGTTTAAATGTAGTGGCCACTTGGTTTAATAACATCTACAATGTTTTATAATGTCAAGCAATAGAAACCCACAAGCCCGGCCTACACATGTTACAACAATATAAATATAGACAATCCAAGTCTAGCTCTCGTTAATTTAATTCTGAACTATTTGAAATGTCAGGAATTCTTGGATTTAAATTCAGTTGCGCATACATATCTATAAAAAGTAAGCATGTTGTTAGAAAAAAAAACAACGACGACAGATAAACATTGTGGTAATTGCATATAGACACAACCACTAAGGTTTTCTACAACAAAATCACGCCCTTCTGATCAAATACGTTTGCCTTTTAAACTATTTAAACTATTTAAAAAACGTTGTTTTTTTTTTAATGCTTGATGACTATAGCCTCCCATACAAGGAGTATGCCTGTAAACCTGTGTGTTGAACAAGGACAGTTAGAGTTGAGCTGAAACTAATAAAAATAAATGGCCCCAGCATATTCTAAAATCATGGAACTTTGATAGTCCATGTTTCCTCTGGCGAACACGTGCGACTGATAAGTCCTGCAACAAGAACCACCAGGTGACCACTGCAACAGATAACGGCCAGACTAAACAGCAGACCCATTAATCATGTCTGTTGTACTCACGCGCGTGAATTACTTCCCATTTTAAAAGTGGTTGGGGAAATACTTCACTAAAAACAATTGGAAAAGAAATACATTCTGTGGAAATGTGTGTGTGTGTGTGCCGCGTTTGTAGAGTACCAATAGTATGTTATGAAAGTAAATTCGATACTTTTGCAGATGAGCTTGAGTAATTGATGGACATGCGAACAATGTATAAATTGGTCTTTTTAATGAGTTTTTGGTTGAAATGGTAAATATAAATTTAATTGAAAAAATAAACTTTTTTTTTAAATTGTTACTTAAATTCTAGACGTAGGCCTATAAATGATAGCACAAGATGTCAACAATTCAAAAAAAAAGTAGAATAACGGGTCAGACCAAACTCAAATAAATGTCTGCGTTTGTTGTGTAAATAATGAGGCGACCTGTAGAACCAGCCAGTGCACAACGCCATGAGGTGAAGTGTAGGACCCGTGTGACGACAAACATGCACGACCCGCCCCTCGTAGTCGTCTGGAGGGTTTCATTCCATAGAAAGCGGCCATAGTGTTTTCACGTCAGTGCTAGATCTACTATTTGTTGACAAGCACATCTAGATGGAATGTACACACATGACACGGTCTAGCTAATCTATTTGAGGATATTTATCTGTTTAAAACCAATGCGTAGTTGATAGAACATGCGGATATAAGAGCTGGGAACAGAAAAAGGCAACTTGTAAGGCATATTTCTTTACAAATAACAGAAGTAGCCTTAGATAGCTCCCTTTTAACACTGGTATCAAGTACTGCCTTAGATAATGATGCATGACCATCTAATAAAAACACTAACCACCAGCTACGTGTCGCTTGTCCGTATTTGTGATTTATTTTCTACATATATTACATGGTCAGAGTCGGCAGTTCTGCTAAATCCACTGTTAGCACGCGATGTGTCTTCCCCTCACCAAGCTACCGTAATTGATATGTTACGTTCCACCCTGCTAGAAGACCACAGGCGCATGTCCACCAAATGTTTATTTTCTACTTCTTGCCTACACCCGTGGTGTGGTCCGTGTGGGAGAAATGTGGGGTAAATGTGTTGAAATATAAGACAAGACGTGCTCCAACATAAACACGTTCTATACAACAACTCAGACACTCTAAGTTAGATTAACCTCAACTGTAAAGAACGTGAAAGTCTGCGAATCACCATGAATGGAGACATAAAACTTGGTGAAGGAGGGAGAATCCGAAATCTTGCAATTAAGGTATACACCTACTAAAACTACACATCTAAAATGTAGCAAGATTTCCATGTTTTAAAAATACATTTGTCAATTTGTGTCGTTTATTATTAACAACTGGATGAACATGTGCCTTAATAAAGTTACAAAGATTGACGGCCCTTCTCTTTACAAAACCCAACCAGATTAGATTATCTATTGTGCAGATTTTGTCAAGGCATGTTTAGACAAAGACCAGGTGTATGTTGAACATGTTTTCATAAGTGTGGATTTTTTTCAGATAGTTTAAACACAATTGCAGTGTAAACAGATGTGTTTGCCCACATACTGCTATTTTAAAATACTAAATTCCTTCGTCTATTTAATACTGCTCAACTGAAACCTCACCCAACTGAAGTAGGCTATCGTGACATTAGCCCGTGCTTGTGATTGAACACAGAACAATTTGAACAAGGTTATTCCGCCCGCACAGACATATCTGTGAAGCAAGTGCCAGACACCCTGAGACCAAACAGCCTTCACTTAATTGACATCAGACATAAAGGTAGGCCTTAGTCGTGCGATGCTGTGGCGATAGCTGTGGGATGCAGCACTCCTAACGAGAGCTTCTTACCTGGTAATAAAACCCCACTAATGACCAATTTGTCAGGCTGAGCTGTTGCGGAGATCACAGACAGGTATATGATCCCCTCCCCCCTCTAGCTCTAACACCCTTCAAACATTAAAAAGATAATGAAAATTAATCTAAAAACACGTTCTTGAGATAGAAATCTCTGTTGGCAGTAGAAGAAAATGTCGGGACAGCGTTTTATGGATAAGAAAAGGGAATAAAGTAAAAAAAAAAAACAACTATTCGCTTCAATCGATTTGCATTACTTGCATCTTTCAAACAGTTGGAAATGCTGTTCTATTTAAGTAGGCATTGTTTGATAAGATACCATGACAACAAATGAGCACAGCATTGTTAGCTCCAAGTACATCAAAAACAATACACTCCACATCCACGTTTGTTTAAAAAGTAGTTTAATACAAATACTATCGTAGACTTGACAGAAGATGGGGTATATAATTCTGTTGCAGTACATTTTTGTAAACACCCACGATTGCGTGAGCTGAGTAGATGTGATAGGTGTGATACCATCACGCCCTCTACTGCTGGACGGCTATGATACAAACAGCCGTGTGACTAGCGCACCCACTAGCAGCACAACGGGGAGAAAATGTTCGGCCCACATTGTGTTTTCTCTAAGCCTAATAACAAACAGCTACTCGTGCGGAATGAGGCAAACAATAGAACGTTTTAACGGTGAATCGCGTTTCCCCCTTTACTTCACCCAGTCTGCCATTTTCTCCCCATAGTTCTTTGCCAAAAATACGCGAGGATATTCTATGGAGATGCCAACATTACTTAGTGCAGTAAAAATATACTCGACTAAGTAATGCTATAAAAATGTTTACCGGCTTCATAAAAATGTCTTTTTTATAAAGGTAGAGAAGAAAACAATTTCAATAACATATTGTAAACAAAAATAAAACACAAGAACGAAAAAAGTTGTATTCGTTATATTATTAGACAACTACACTTTGTGTAAGTTAAGAATTTTGATCGTCAATACAGTTACTACAGAACTCGCGGGTTAGACTTGTACAAAGAGACTAATGTGGTAGTCACATGGTTAATGGCAGTCGTTAATAACTGGGGTTTTAATGTTTCAACAAATCCAACATAAAACTAACTAAAGCTGTAACATGCATTTGCTGGGTAATATTCACAAAAACATCAAAATGACAACCATAAATATAATGCCTGATAATGGTTGAAGCAAAACTCAGTCTACTAATCATGGTTTCCTACCAGAACAATTTGCATTTTTATACTTCTTGATCACTGTTGTACTTGTAGGTTTTTAATGAGTCTTATAGTTACAATTTTTTTTAATTATTACCTTTACCTTATGTTAAAACAACTACAATTGTAAATTACCAAATTAAGAATATTTTTGTACTAAACTGTTGACTGAAATGAAACCCATGAAACAAGAATGGGGCCAACACCTACAAGCATCTCTCATGAAATGCATTCTTCTATTGTTCACTGATTAGGAGGGCATCTGCTAAGCCCTTGGGTAGGGAGGTCACAAGTAACCTGAGACTGGAGGAACACAAGCCAAGATAAGACAGGGGAGATTTACAGAGAAACTTGGGAAGACAATGGACACATTCCAGCACTGGGTTTATACAGCTCATTAACATAGGCCTCTACTTGTCTAGACTAGTACACATTATTATTTACTGAAAGATGTTAGAATTATGTTACAGATATGATGATATAAATAAAAGATGAGCATTTATAGAAGGGAGGAGAGTAGTAAAGTGAGCAAATGACTCACCACTGTCTGTTCCACCCTCTGCTGCATTCATCTGGGCAAGTTTCTTCTCCAGCTTCTGCTGCCTTCTTCTCCTCATGACAGCTTCAGGGTTGGATATGCTCCTGGTGAAGCTGGTCTCTGGAGCTTCCTCGTACAGCTTGTTGGCAACACTGTCATCTCCATTGACATTCTCTTTCCCTCTATCTCGCTCACGTTTCTTCTTCTCTTTTTTCTCTCTCTTAGAGAGCTTCCTCTTGAAGCCTGCTTGTTCCTGCTGCAGTACAGACTTGTCAAATCCCAGGGCTGGATCCTATAGGATGACCACAATAAACATTATTTTTTTATAAAGCAACATTAGATCATAAAAATACAAACAACAAGTTGAAAAAACTGGATGGTGTCAGCCAAAACATTAAAGTAAATTTACCCTAACAGTGGGGTGGTCCTCATTCCTGAGCAAGAACCTTCCTTCTCGAACATCATTTCCCCAATTAAGTTGCACATATAGAGGCTTTTCATCATTCTCCAACCTTCTTTCCTCTGAATAATAATACAATAAAGCTCCTAAATGATTTTTTAAAACTATGAGACATTCCTATTCAATAAAGTTAAACACATTTATCATTTTATTTTCAAAGTCACAATAACCTTCTACAAGTGATGCAGAACAAATGAATTATTTTGTTACCTAATAATACATTGAAATGATGCACCATGTAATTGTGTTTTTTAAAGTGCATCTGAATATAGACCTGGCACCAAAATATGTTAATTAACCCTTTCTACTTTTTATTTTACTGTAGGACTCCAAAGACATAATTTAATGTCTATTGTATATAAGAAGATTAAAAGGGGGACTGCAATTAAAGATCTTATACAGTTCGCTGTGCTAAAGAAATGCCATTTCAAATAGCCCTCAAAAACTAAGATAGATTATTTCCCTTGCATAACCTCCAAGCTATTGTGACAATAATGACATTGGTTAACAGCTACGTCAACAGCCAACGCTGGAAATCGAAAGGAAACCACGCTATTTCCCAGAGGTTTAATTTTATCATTGGTAAATAGGTCAACAACCGCCGCTGGTTGATATGAGAGACAGAGACACTATGAAGTTCGTTTATTGCTAGTAAGGTAACAGATAGGGTATTATTTCATTCATACCAGCCTCCACGTTCTCAAGCTGAAGGTTATGCCTACCAGTGCTATCGAAATCATTTCTCCTTTACATGAGTTATTTGATATCCCGGTTGTCAGCTGAGTTGTATTAAATGTTCGCGGCGTGACATTAAGTGCACACCAAAGCCGATTAAAAAAACGTGTTAATAATAAATCAAAAGCTGATTTTAGAGTTACATGGCGCTGGGAATTAAAGAAATGGCGGGAGATAGGGTCAAAACAAACAGGAAGTTAGAGAAGTCAGAACATGCGGGAGAAGACAACCAAAACAAGAGACTGAAGTAAAACAAGGAGTAGGGAGACAGTCAAAACAAGTAGGGGAGGGGCCCGAGATAGTCAAAACATGTAGGGGAGGGGGCCCGAGATAGTCAATACAAGTAGGGGAGGGGGGCCGATACAGTCAAAACAAGTAGGGGAGGGAGGTCGAGACAGTCAAAACAAGTAGGGGAGGGGCCCGAGATAGTCAAAACATGTAGGGGAGGGGGACCGATACAGTCAAAACAAGTAGGGGAGGGGGGCCGAGACAGTCAATACAAGTAGGGGAGGGGGGCCGAGACAGTCAATACAAGTAGGGGAGGGGGGCCGAGACAGTCAATACAAGTAGGGGAGGGGGGCCGAGACAGTCAATACAAGTAGGGGAGGGGGCCCGAGAGTCAAAACAAGTAGGGGTGGAGGGTGGAGACAGTCAAAACAAGTAGGGGAGGGGCCCGAGATAGTCAATACAAGTAGGGGAGGGGGGCCGAGACAGTCAATACAAGTAGGGGAGGGGGGCCGAGACAGTCAATACAAGTAGGGGAGGGGGCCCGAGATAGTCAATACAAGTAGGGGAGGGGCCCGAGATAGTCAATACAAGTAGGGGAGGAGGGTGGAGACAGTCAAAACAAGTAGGGGAGGGGGCCGAGATAGTCAATACAAGTAGGGGAGGGGGCCCGAGATAGTCAATACAAGTAGGGGAGGGGCCCGAGATAGTCAATACAAGTAGGGGAGGGGGCCCGAGATAGTCAATACAAGTAGGGGAGGAGGGTGGAGACAGTCAAAACAAGTAGGGGAGGGGGCCGAGACAGTCAATACAAGTAGGGGAGGGTGGGGGCCGAGACAGTCAAAACAAGTAAGGGAGGGAGGCCGAGACAGTCAAACAAGTAGGTAGCCGGTTTAGAAAATTACACGGCAGTAAGTAATTTATAAAAATTGCTTCTTAAATGCGACCAATATTAAAAATCGGCATCCTAGTATAATTTTGTCTAAACGAAGCTTTAAATAATTGGTCGACATTGAATTATTTATTTTTAATCTGAAAATTGTGATAGATGTAACGCAATACACGCAAATGCGTCACGCCGGTATTGAATAGGCTAAACCGCTACCAGTTAGACACATCCATATAAATCACACACATTTCCCTGCAAAGAAAAACATCTCAGGGCCTAACACACTTTTTTTTTTTACGTCTACGGTGTACCGGTAAAAAGTTTTCTACGCCACTGTCAAGCATCAACGTTTATTCTATCAGTTACAGCAAGACATTAACTTGTCTGCTCGTACCGCCAAAATGACACAGAAACACGGCATACGGAAATACGAGGAAATAAATTTACATTATTTCAAAAGAGCTATTACAGCAATTATGTAGCCAGCCTTTTCACCTGTAAATATATGGCTGATATGTTGAATTGTGTTTAATCATAACACGTGGGAAGATTTATAAGTATATACTATAAAAGCTAATGTGTGGTGTATAAAAAAAAAACGTTGGGGGAATAAACGTAGCAAAAACAAACGACTTACCTCCATTGACGTGAACCTCATACAAAGCATATTTATTCTGAGATAACATGCGCATATCAGGTCTAAACTTTTCGATTAAAACGTCGATTACTTCTCTTGTTGTGGCAGTACTCGACACTCTGATGCATTTTGTAATCACATTTGCACCTACACCACCTTGAAAGAAAAACCTCACTACTCCGTGGAACTCTAAATTCTGAAAGTAATGGAGAAATAATAATGTGCAGATAAAAATGTAATACCGTTTTAAAGTATCAATTCGTGTAGGGTCAGTTTCTATAGTATAACTTGCTGCCTAGTTAATGGGTGCCAGCCCCCAACGGTGTCCTCCATGTTTTTGTAGTACATACATGCCGGTACCACCTAACAGCTATTTTAAAAAGCTCCTGTAACCAAAGAGTGCTAGAGATACGTACCCAACAAGCGCTACAAGGAAGGGTTTAATGTTTATGGCTTTTTTTACATTGTTAAAAATATGATTATATGCAAGTTCACGCACTTTACGTATTCAGTAAATATTTCCGATTTACTGGGTTGTCAAAAAGCGGATAAAACGGCGAGTAAATGGGGGGGGGGGTTGAAAAAAGAGCAGCACACTTTGCAAAAATGACTGTGCGAAAACTTTAACGTCAGCCAAAGGCTAAGTCATAAGACTAATATCGAAATTAGGCGGTTTAGCACCTAAACATGCTCCCGGCTAGGACGAAGCTCACAATGTTTAGCATTCGTATAGCACTTATTTGAAGCCAGCGTGCCTAATAACCACATTCGTCATAAGTTCAATTACAGGTGCACTGGTGGGTGAAGGACGATGCCTAATGTAAAACCGGTTATAAAAAAAACGCATGGTTTCATTAACTGATGTTTTTGAATAGAGGTGCTTTGAATTAAACACAACCAACGTTGCAACACGTTAGAATTGTTAGTTGTGTTTTTTTTTGCATAAGTCCCAGGTCGGACGAATGAAAAAAAAAAACCATCGGATGGCAACATTGTATATTGCTCGTGCTTTATTTCACTATTGAAGGGCCGTTTATATTGTAGATAAAGCACCTGGGGTGGGTGGTGGTTGACTACCAATGACGACTGAACACATGGGTTGATGGTGGGGGGGGGGGGTGGAGTGGTAAGAACTGTGACATTATGACAGTGGCGGGTGGGGGAGCGGAGAAGATAATAGTAAACATAAACCATCATAGACCCCTCAACAGTTCGGCCATAAATCTCAGTGTGAAATATTGAGGTGCCTGGGGATTATTATAGCCTATCCTGCGACATTGTTTATACAATGACAAATCATAACAGCCTGGCCGTCAGAGCCGACAAAATCGTGTGTACAAGAATTAGACTCAATTGATCAATTTCGTGTGAAAACAGACGCATTCATCTTCACCGTTTAGAGGAGTGAAATTCGACTGCTACCATTCAACTTCAATGTGTTAATGAGAATAATTTAGAAAACTGTCTGTAAGGTTAAAGTTTGATAAAAACAAAACAGCCGCTAGATCTATTACAATAGGGATTTTTTAAAACATGTAATATTTTTACATTGATCTAAATCTAAAAAGAAATAAATTGGCGGAACTTCCCACATGACAATCTCTCATTTTTGTGCGAGATGGTGATTGCAGTATGTAGTATGGTGGTACGAAATATAACAGAGGCTCACTACCGTGCAGCTATGTGAGACACGTTAACTAGCCGTGATCAACTTTTCAACAGCGGGGGATTTCCTGGTAAGGTGGCTTGTGTGAAATGACTACGGTGGATTATACTGGGCACACAACAACAAAAAAACACCTTTTAAAAACATGTAGAATGTAAATTATTTGTTAGCAATAAAGCTTCTCTTTCAATGTAGTATACAAGTAATGGTGACAGGCTGAGGAATATGGAGTTGAAAATTAACTAAGAATTTCAACAACAAAAAAACCGGACAAAAAACCAGTACCATTGGCGAGGAGCAGCAAATCGTCCAATAAGTTACATTTTTTTTTAAAAGCCAGACAAAAGGGGTCATCCATTTATATCCACCTTTATGGACTGTGGGGAGGGGAATTTAACATCGAAGTGCTTACATTTTAAAACAAACATAAAACTCATTTGTTCCATGTAAAAAACTATCTTTTAACCTACCACAACGTGTAAATAAAGCCCAGTATTTACACCTTATGTAATACCTACACTGGGGTCATCCAATCATAAGCGACGTAATGATTTTACCCCCCCCCTCCCCAGATCATTTTAAAAAGCCTGGACCCAACACCCAAAATGACGTCACATCTTAGCCTACCACCCCTCTCAAAACTGTACATTTGTTTCAACTGCAATTTTTTTTCTTCTTCTAAATTATTTACTGAGCTCGGTCGACGCTGATGTAGGCTTAGATTCATTTTTACTGGGGAAAAAAATTCACCAACGTGAAGCAACAGCTGAAATTGAGTTTTTAATGTTATTGTAAAAGTGTGTCGTCACACTTTCTGCAACACTCCTCCCGCCCCTCCTGATTGTGACGTAGTTTATCGACGACCCACTAATACAAATAGCACCTCAGTGGTTAATGAGCGATGAAGTAATATTAATCTTTTAAATGCTAATATTAATTATTATTAAAAATACACCCAATGAGTAAAGATATACTGTTGGTTAGTAATGAGGAAATTCGTTGAAATAAATAATATAATTATACTTTTATAATTAAACTTTTCAGTCCGAGGGCCGCATTAACTATCAAATTTCAGTTCGGGGGCCAGTTTCTTCCCGGCATGTCTTTAATTTTTCTGGGCAAAGTTCCTCATCATCACCAACAAACGATTTTTCTTTGGACAAAAAGATCTCCGCGGGCCGGATGAGAGGACTTCGCGGGCCACATTCGGCCCGCGGGCCGTAGTTTGGAGACCCCTGCTCTAGACTAGTGGTTTGTTAACCTGGGTTAGAGCGAACCCGCAGGGGTTTGGTGGACTCATAAGTCAAGAATGGATTTTGTCCGTGAGGACGACAGAACTAGTAAGAAGTGTCGGTTAATGCGCATTTGAAACTGGTGGGTTTCGGTACCTCCAAAAAGTTTAGGAACCAGAGCTCAAGATTCAACAATTAATATTTAAGCCTAATAATAAACATTCCCATTAGTATTAAATCTATATATAAGTTAACAGGACACAATACATGTTATTGAAATAGTAAATTGGTCGTAATGTTTTTATAGATCTACTAAATGTTGGCACATGGGGGGGGGGGGGGGGGAAGAAGGGAAGAAAGAGGATGTTCAATCGGAAGTGGACGCGTTAGGGGTGTCTAAAATCCGAAATGTTTGTGGGCATAATAAATGAATGATCCCCAAAGAAAACAAAATAGATTTTTTAAGTATAGTACATTCTTAATTCAATAATGTAGAAAATTTATAGAACTTATAATAAATGTGGAAAATACTCTGAACTTAAACATGGCACTTCTAAAAATCATACACATCAAATTAAAGTGCATGATGGGGCTTTTAACTAATATAATATTCTTTGCAATAAATTGGGACTTGGGAGTAATGAGAAATGGGAATAGACCTAGAAATCTAAATGGAACGAAACCTGTATGCTTATCTCACTTCAGTGGGTTAATTGGAAAAAGGACACAGTGAATTTACAACAATAATAAAGCAAATACAAGCAGTAAGGAGTTATAAAATTGAAATTAGACTATGGGCTTTTTTATAAATCTGCACACGGGACAATACTGCACCTAATTAAGTCGTCCCCCCATCAGTTAGGGATAGTATACAGGCAGGTTAGGTATAAACAGACCATAATATACCCTGCCATCTTTATAGTCAACAGATCTAGTACTAAGACTGCTAATGACAAACTTGCAACAAAACAATAGAATATACATTTAAATCTAAGCCGAAAGTAAACAGTTATGGGTTATGTCTCTCTAGCACCCATTTCCCAATAAATGAAGTGATGTACTTTTATTACTTATTAGTAAACCAATAGGCCCTACTAGTACAATACTAAAAATGACTATGTCTAAACTTAAATTCAAAAACTTGGCTAAACTAAACTACTGAATATTATGTTGTTTAAGGTGTATTAAAATAAAATACTTAGACAAATTCATTCTTCAGATAAGCCCAGGTTAAAATTAGATATAACATGCCTTAGCTAGTTAGTATCATATCTAGATTAAAACTAGAAATTTAAGTTAACTAAGCTAACTGAGGTAGTTCTAGCTACAGTGAGACATTTTAGTTAACTAAGACTAAGAAGGGGAAACACAACCAACAAAAATGTTTATAATTAAAGTGATTAGAACTACAGTTTACTATAGTTAGCCTAGAGTACACTATGGGATGGTGTGGCACTAGATTGCTAACACATAAAGGTCTCTGGTTCAAATCTGGCTTCAAGTCAGCAGAACATCCCAGAGTCCACCCAGCTCTAATGGGTGCCTAACTCACATTAGATCAAGTAAAGGTGGCTAGTCACTGTGCTGAGCACACTATCGCACTTTATATGCTGAGGTCACAGAAACAGGTGGACTCTACTTAACTTGCTCCATGGACCGTCACGTTAATTAAAATGGAACTTCAGTTACTATTACTATTACTCTTAGAGTCTACTAGATCCTATCCTGTTAATAATTAATTAGGCCTACTGGATCTAGTTAACTTGTCTAGTAGTTTAGTAAAAGACAATAGATTAATTTAGTTAACAAAGTTACAGCTTAGGCCTACTACTACTAATTGGTAAACTTAGTAGGCCTATATATTAAAAAAACAGGTCTAAAAATTGATTTAAAAAATAGATTTATACTGGATAGACTGTAACCATAGGCTACATACTACATGTTATTGTTAAGTTAAAGGGCCTAATAAATGAATCATGGTGTGAAGGGTTTGGCCTAGGTAATAGTAGGGCCTCCCATAGATCTAGATGTAGACTAGAATATTATTTGAATAGGCCTAGTTTATTTTTTTATTTAGGCCTAGAATGTAGGCCAGGCACTATTCAGTATCACTATCACCATTCAGTCTATTGTTTCTCTAGATTGAATCTATTCTACTCTAGAGATCTAGATCTAGATCTAAAAAGTTTATTAAGAATTAAGACAGTTTTTAAATAGTTACGTTTAAAGTAGTAGGCCTAAAAATCCTAAAATAGATCTAACAAAGTGAAAAGCAAGGATAAACAACTGTTAAAAAACATGATAAAATAAGGACTTTATTAGGCTTGCCTCTCCACCAATCCCTTTCCCTACCTAGCAAGTTTGGGACAGGTATATTTTCAAGGTCGGCCATATTGGATTGTTGTTGACGCTCAAAATGGTGTCACCTGTGTCTATTGGCATACAGGTAAAAAGGCGATCAACTTCGTGAAATAGATGAAACGTGTATACACTTAAGTGGAAAACATCATCAAAAAGTACCAATCGAATTTTTCAATACAAAATTTTGTTTATAAATAAGGAAAACATTCATACCTGATCTGGTTGACTCAATTCAAAAATATCGTAATGATCAACATTCCACTGATTGATGAGACCTCTCAGTCGTTCATATTCCTCCTTTTTAGATAACGACATTGTGAACAAATAGTTTTTAGAATTTAGGAATCACCTAATTAAATAAAACACGTCACATCACTGATTATTCACATTAACTCCATAAGAAATAACTGCTTCAAAGAAATAAACAAGTGAATTCAATTCGGCAGCAAGTAGTAATTCCAACGGTCTCCCATTGCTTTCAGAAAGGTAATCACGCATGCGCACGTTACGGGTCGAGTGCTAACCCGACAAGTGCCCCTCTTTTTCGTACCGTGGGTTGGCCGATCTACCTATTCTATAAATAATCACAGGCCTTGCCTCAAATTTTTTAAAAGTAAAAGGGCAGCTTCAGACAACGACAAGCAACTAAACCTAAAGCAGTATTGTGGGAATGGATATTTTCAAAATGGATGGATAGATCTCTACACTCTACTGCAGTAATGGGAAAACAATCGATAATGTTTATAGAATTACTTTTCCGCAATTTCTCATCTGGGAATTTCTATGCGTAATCGGGGAATTTGACTTGCTTAAGTTCTATTTTGTTGGCCTATTAGTATTTTTTTTTTTTTTGGTGTGTCAATGAAAAATAGGATAGGGCGTTTAGGTAATATGCGTGGGGAAAAGTTATGATGTAATATTTATATGTACGAATTCAAATCATTGTATCAACTTTTGTAGCATAATTTTTTTTTAAATTTTTAAATATTGACAACTGTTATTATTAATAAGTTTTAAAATGTAGGTTATAAGATATATAATCTAGCTAGATCTATGCGAAATTTTTATTCTGCCTCTCTCTATCTCTCTCTCTCTCTCTCTCTCTCTCTCTCTCTCTCTCTCTCTCTATCTCTCAATTTGTATTACATTATTTAAAAACAAAAGTATCTGCTAATATCAGTTGTAAAATACAAATTACTTTTTGACGACCCCCGCACAGCTTTCGTTAATTTAACCATTTTTTTTTTTCAGTTTGTCGTTTGAATTATAAAAACGAAATAGTAAACTGATAAGGCTGCTAGATCTATATAACACATATTTTACCACACAGACCGTATGCCAGAGAAAGATTTCCTTCTTTAAACCCGGGGTTTCAGGTATCTTTTCGATGTGGAGGGGGGGGGGGAATAAATGTCTGAATTAAACACTCATCGGCGTGGTCGTGCTAAACCGTGCTCTAACTCCGGGAAGATGAGGCTCGATAGCTGGGGACAGCAACATATCTGGGAGAGAACATTCCAAAATAAAATAACTACTTTCTTGTGGATTGTTCTTGGGTAGCCTAAAGCAGAAGAAAGTCAATGGCTATATGGCTCATTACATGTTGACATGTAGCCTAACACTTATTTGTGTTGGAGAAAATCCCGTTTAAGATTACAATTAAGAACGAAGAAGAGGCAGATATATCCGCTATACATAATCTATTATAATAATTTACCCATACCCCTCCCCCCCCCCCACCACACACACTTTAGACATACAAACAAAAATTGACGCCACAAAACAGTTAGCGCCATAACCATTATACTTATGTTCATTCAG